AGTATGCAGAATAATGTAATATTTTAACTGCACAGCAGAGAAAGCTATGTACCTACAGATATAGAGGGGAAAATATCGGTATTGGTATCGGTTATTGGCCAAATAAGTTTTAACATATTGGCATATCGGCCGAAATTCAATATTGTGCATCTCTACTTGTGTTTTTTTTTTTTGCTGTTTTATTCTTTGGATCATTTTGGCAGCACGACGGCTCAGTGGTTAGCACTGTTGCCTCACACAGCAAGAAGGTCCTGGGTTCAGTCCCCGGTTGGACCTGGGGTCTTTCTGTGTGGAGTTTGCATGTTCTTCTTATGCTTGCGTGGGTTTTATCTGGGTACTCTGGTTTCCTCCCACGGAACAAAAACGTATTTTTTGAAAAAATAAAATAAATCATGTATGAGGCCCAGGCCTCCCTTGCAAAAGATATCTGTGATCTGATTGGGATATGCCTGGTTAAGTAAGGGTTAATAATTTTTTACGGATGTCCCAAAACTAGTTATTTTCAGACCAAGCACTTCAATTTGAGTACTTGCAGAGTAGTTAATGAGTTAGTACTTAAACATTACACAATAACTTTAGAAGCACATTTATTCTATTAAGAACACAGCACGCAGTCTGCTGTCTTAACATTGCCCGTTTTATATTAAAATATCGCCAAACTATGAATATTATTTAAATGTTTGTCCTCTATATGAAGGTGATATTTATCTGAAATATTGGGGTGTTTTTAGGAGTACAGCTATGAGTTTTTGAGGCCAGTACTGGTATCATAGCACCACTTTGTTGACATTTCATGTGGTTTTGTTGTCGTTTTGCAGCCATTAAAAAAAAAAATGTTTGTCATTTATTTTGATATTTTGTAAGTATTTTTAAGTTTTAAAATCTTTCCTTGAAATAAGTTGTTTTCATCTTTTTTTGTGTGTGTTTTTTAAATACCGTTTTTGTCATTTTGTGTCTTCCTAACAGACTAAGTTTACCAACTCTTAAAGCCTAGCACCACGACCCACTTTTCCGATCCTAGTTACCGTACTTTCCGCCGTAAACGTCGCACCGCCCTTTAAGTAATAAAGTGCAAAAATCCATAAATTCATCGTTTTGCTGTATACGTCGCATCTATTACACATCACGGAAATGTGGGCTGAACCTGGAAATGTGGGCCGGTGTTGTGCCAAAAATTGATTGGCTGCCAAATGGCGGGAGCGTGCCCGGGAGGACTTTAACAAGAATTCAACAAGATTAACACTTAAAAACAATTATTTGTTTGCTCTAAATTATAGCCAAAGTGTGTTTCAGTCAAACTTTTTCTTAATAAATGCCCTTTGACGGTCAAATCGGCTGCATTTTCAAAAGCCGATACGCGGGAACATGAATTCGCAGAGGGGCGACTCGTGCATTTTTTTACGAAATTTAACAAGATAAACACCTAAAACAATTATTTGTTAGCTTGACATTATAGTAAAGATGTGTCTCAGTTGAACTTTCACTTAATAAATTCACTTTAGTGGTCAAATCAGCTGCTGATTTGACGGTTGCTTCAGGCAAACGACGGTGGCAAGCTATGGCAAAGCCGACTGTTAATAGCCTCTTTTACCTATAACCAGGATGATGAGCTACAACACTTAATTTCCCTTTGGGATTAATAAAGTATTTTTGAATTTGAATTACATGATACAGTGGCATGCCATACTACTCTGCTGCCATCTAGTGGCTGAAAATGGTAGTGTTCAAATATTTTCAGTCAGAATGAATGAAAACGGTCATATCGCAGCCAAAAATTGGTTTATAAATATGGAGAAAATATCCATAAATACGTCGCTTCGGCGTATAAGTCGCAGGACATGTAAATATGCAAAAAACTGCGACTTATAGGGCGAAAAATATGCTTATAAAAATATATACATTTAAAATATATCCCCTTCAACAGAAAAACGAAACAGGTTTTCATGTTGCCTTTTTTTGTGTGTTTTTGTTCAGTTTATGTCAACATTCTCCAAAGACAATAATTGATTACATGTTTATTAGTTGACTCACATTTCCAACAAATAACAACGTGCGTCACTCATTTCCTGACATTTCTGAGGAAATACTTGTCTTTTGTCTCTGTCTGCAGAGTTAAACTTGCTCCTGCAGAAGGCACCAAGTCCAACCCGTCCAAACGACACCGTGACCGCCTGAACTCGGAGCTGGATCGCCTCGCCGGCCTGCTGCCCTTCCCCGAAGACGTCCTGTCCAGCCTGGACAAGCTGTCCATCCTGAGGCTCAGCGTCAGCTTCCTCCGGACCAAGAGCTTCTTCTCAGGTGAGAGCAGGACTCTTGACGGCTGGATTTCTTTTTTCACAAAAATCACTTTGTTTTACAGATCGGCTGTGGAGACTGAAATATCCTGATTTTTTTGTTTGTTTCTGCTCACATCAGCTCAGAAAGAATGACCGTTTGACGACGAAAGAAAAAAACAACAAAACAAATAAATAAAACGGCGTATGGTGGATTAACGATGACATCAATGGAAAAATGAAGCTGAACAGAAAAATAACAATCTAAACTAAAGAAGTTGCATTTCCTACGAAAATGCAGTGTGAATGCTTATTGCTGAAGAACTTGCTGATAAACAGCTGAATTATAGCTGAAATGAAAGAACAAGCTTAAATTAGCAGAAGAAAACAAAAAGAACACATTTTTGCTAAATTTGGTTTAAATAAGCAGAAATGAGCACAGAAATTAGTAAATTAGCTAAAAAAAAAAGCTTAAATTAGTTAAACAAATTGCTGAAAATTAGCTGAAAAGGCAGAAAGAAGCTTAAACTACTGGAAGGAAGTGGTGAGAGCTGAAATGAGCTAAAAATGTGGAATTAACAGAAAAGTCTCAAATTAGCATCAAAACAGCTAAATAGTGGCTGAAATAGCAGAAAAAAGCTGAAAGGAGCACGACAAGCTGAAATGACCAGAAATAAGTTAATTAGGTTGAAAGTAGCAAAAATTACTATGAAAAACTTGAATTTATCTGAAAACAGCTGAAATTAGCTAAAAAAAACCCTGAAAAGGTATCTGAAAAGGTAGAACAAGGTTAAATCAGCAAAAGAAAACAGAAAGAACATGTGTTTGCTAAATTTGGTTTAAATAAGCAGAAATGAGCACAAAAATTAGGAAATTAGCAAAAAAATCTTAAATTAATTAAAAAAATTGCTGAAAAGTAGCTGAAAAATCAGAAAAAAGCTTAAACTACTGGAGGAAAGTGGAAATAGCTGATATGAGCTAGAATTAACATCAAAACAGCTAAATAGTGGCTGAAATAGCAGAAGCAGAAAAAAGCTGAAAGTAGCACAACAAGCTGAAATTACCATAAAGAAGTTAATTAGGTTGAAAGTAGCAAAAATTACCATGAAAAACTTGAATTTATTTGAAAACAGCTGAAATTAGCTAGAAATGCTAAAAAGCAGCTGAAAAGGTGGAACGGGCTTAAATTACCAGAAGAAAGCAGAAAGAACACATTTGCACAGTTAAGCTGAAAGAAACAGAAATTAGCACAAAAAGTGGAAATAATCTGAAAAAATATGGAATTGGCAAAAAATAGCTGAAAAGTAGCTAAACATTCAGAAAGAAGCTGAAATTACAAGAAGGAAGTGGAGGGCACATCTTTGCTGAATTAGGCTGAAAAAAGTTGAAATGAGTGCAAAAGATGCAACATTAGCCGAAAAAGCTAAACTTATCATAAAACAGTTAAATAGTAACTGAAATAGTAGAAAAAGCTGAAGCTTGCAGACATGAGTTGAAAAGATCATAACAAGCTGAAATTTTCAGAAAGAAGTTGGAAGAATCACAAAAATGTTGTAATTAGCAGAAAGAATCTGAAAGGAGCACAAAACAGCTGAATAAGTAGCTGAAATTAGCTGAAAGTAGCTAAACATATATAAATTTGCACAAAGAAGCTGAAGCAGAACGAAATGTGAAAGGAGCAGTAAAAGACTGTAAACAGATCTAAAGATCTGAAGGATGGAAAATGAGCTGAGGGAAAAAGTGGCCGAAAAGGCTAAATATTTCAAAAAGCTAAAGTTGCGCCAATACAAGAAGTCATCGCAGGATTGTCCTGAAAGAGCTGAACATTTTGATCTATGATTCGTTGAAATAGCACAAAGATTGTGAACGAATAAAAATGGATCACAACAGTGCGAATGCTTCGTCACCATTGACACTGTTAAGGAAAGAAAGCTTCGCCCTCTAAAGACGATGCGCAGAAAGGAAAGAACAAGGAATACTTTCAGGTTGGCTTGAATCAGGGCAGAGTGTTTAGTGTTTTAGCAACAGAAACAGACCTGTTTCTTTTCTGGTTTTTCTTTCATCTAGCTAAAAACGACTCACTCGCCCTGAAAACGTCTCAGGAAAACTCCAGTTAAAAGCTTTTTTTTTTTTTTTTGTTCGTTTCCTCCTCTGTCAAACCACTTTGATGCCTCTGGAGGAAGAAAAGTAATACCGATGTGCATTTTTCCTGTTATTTACAGAGGCTTATATTTGGGTTCGGTGCGTCTGTGGCTCAAAATGGTGAATAATTCATCCGAAACGAGCTTGAAGAAGTCCCGCCTCAGAGTTGGAACCACTTCTGTTTGTGATCCAGGTTCCGTGTAGGCGGGGATGACTTTTGGTCCGGAGGTTCTCAGGCTTTCGGACACTGCACACGGGTTTTCGTTTACAAGTTTGTTTTTATCTTAATAGGAGCAAAAATGGTTGAACATCACTGAATCCCACCTGTGAAACCGGTGATGGGTCAGAACTGTAGGGTTTGGAGTTTGGTTGTGAGTTTAAAATTAATTCTTGCCACGTTGCAGCCGTTTTGATCAAACCTAGAAAATAACAGGGTCTGGACTCGGTGCGACCCACTCTTGTTGTTACATCCACAGACAACAGTTCTGTAGGTCAAGATCCTGCCTGTGGCTATAAGATCCCCCTCCTGCATCCCTAGTCTGAGGAGATGGGTTACTGTGGCGATGAGATGAAAGAATAAAAACATGGAGGGATGACCTTTATTTATACAGGTTAAGACTCATTTACAAGAGAGACCTGTTTGAAACAAAGAACACAGCTGAGGTACAGACAACAATAGACCATCATATAAAATGAAATGTAAATAGAAGAAATGAAATTAAAATGAAACAAAACCAGCTACATTATGAAGCGGTGTAAAATACTAAAAACAGGAGCATGTCTGCGTTGGTTTTTGCCATGAACCTAGCGGTTGTTTCAAATCACCCAGTCGACAACGTCAGATCTTTTTGCAAGGTGTTCCAGGAGCGGAGTAGGAGAAGACCGTTTTGCCTAATTCGGTCCGCACTGAGGGTACACTGCAGGTAATGATGTCTTGAGAGCGCACGCTGTAGCTGCACTGACGACGTGACATGTAGGAGATGTATGAAGGCAACAGACAAGTTTTCGAAAAAAAAAATTCATTCACTCTTTATTTATACAGGTAGTGTCATTGAGCCACGAGAACTCATTTTCAAGAGAGACCTGTTTTTTGGGAGCAGATAGTGGGGGTTAAGGGCCTTGCTCAGGGGCCTAGAATGGGGCAAATGAGAGTGGAGGCAGGTGTGGGTGTTTCACCTTTTCCACCCATTTTAATGTTGACGGTACCGGGAGTTGAACCTGCGACTTTCCAATCACAGGCCCATCTTCTCTAGCCTCTGTGCCACCGCTCAATGAGGCTTAAGAGAGATGCGAATCGACCAAATTACCCAAGTATTTGTAGGAGTCGACAAACTCAACAGGAACACCGTTCTTAGATAAAATAGAAGGAAGGACTGCTGGGACTGACTTCCTGTTTGAACATCCCTTTGGTTTTATCCGCGTTTAGCACCAGTTTGAGACGGAACAAATCTGACTGGATGATGTCGAATGCAGACTAAGAGCTGGAAAACATTAGAAACTGTTTTAGCTCGACGATAAACCACTGTGTCGTCGGCATGAAATGTAAAGATGCATCAGGGATGGGCTGACCTACATTACTTATATAGATTGCGAAGGGGGTGGGTCCTAAGACTGAACCTTGCGGTACACCGTTGTTAACAGTTAGCTGTAAGATGTACCATTATGTTGAACACATTGCCTCCGATCTGAGAGATAATTAGAGATTCAGAGAACCAATCAAAAGGATGATCTGAGCAACCGGTTTCTGAGAGACACAAGATGTCATGGTCCACTAGACAAAAGCTTAGAGATTCTGTTTAAACTAGACAGAAATATTAAATCATATAGCCTTAAATATCATTTACTGTTTACCAATTTTAACCTTACATGTCTTATTGTTGGGACCTTTAAAACACAATATATTTAATGTTTTTTTTTCTACAAAAAAAAAAAAAAAATCTATTTGAATAAATGAAATAAATTAAATTAATGACTTAAACTGTTGTAAAATAATGGAAATTATGTCCAGAGCAACATTATTGCCACTTCCAGACACAGTCCCCATCTTTTTTCCTAAAGCTAGGGAGAACGTATGATCCAAGACATGTTTGTATGTGTATTGTTAAAAAACAACAACAACAACAAAAAGGTGGGATACAGTCTTATTTACCTTAAAGCAGATATAGAGCCCAGCCAAAGCCTTGAAGTCCTCCATCACTGAGCTTGGGCTAATTTCAGAGAAAATCTTAACATTGAAGACGAGCAAATACTTTAATGCTCCATGTTCAAAACACTGTTGTTGTAGCCACGGATCTAGTTCGGTCTGGTTGTTCATGTAGCGGCAAACACAACAGCTACCTGAACTTCGTGAGGCCACTTCAGTAAACTTTACGGTTGTTAAATAAATGTAAACAAAACCAAACCAGCGTTTTATCTGCTAAACTGGAGGCAAATTGCTTTCAAATGAACCGCAGTCCACTGCTTAATGCCACTTCCTTTCTGACAGGAAGTTGTACCCCCCAGGAACAAGGTGGATAGATGCAGTTGAGAGGACATAGTTGGAGTGAGCTGGAGGAGGGAACAGCCGAAAGAAGACGATTAATACTATCTGCACGTGCTGCCCCTGTTTTCTAGTAGATACCACCTTTATTCCGTAGGCTCACTGGCGTTCAGCTCTAAAATCGGTGTTCTCCCAGGACCGAGCTGAGCTGTGATGCTGTGTGGGACCCGAGAGCAGAGTCAGGACAGAAACGCTGCAGTTTGCAGACAGGACTCTTTGTTCGGCTCATGTTATCACTCAGGAGCCGCTCTGACGCGCTGAAAAATTCATTTCGGCCTCTCGTCCTGTGGCTAGATTGGGGGGGAGGAGATGCTGGATTACTCGAGTCATCAACAAACTGCTGCTTTGATCGTCCACGTCGAGCTGCGGCTCCGATATTTACAAGCGAAGCTCCGACGTAGCTTTTGCGGCTTAGTGATTTCTTTGTATTTAAAACGCGTCGCAAGATGGCCGCTCTTCTGGCGTGTGCAGCTTCTGCCGAGCTGCGTCTGTTTTGATGTTTTTATTGGATGTTGCCGTCCTCGTCTCCCTTCGTTGGACCAACACGCGTCCCTTCCGCTCCTTGTCACGGCTGCCGCAGGCCGCTTCATCCGCTCGTGACGTCAGGGTGTTAAATTCTCCTGCTTCTTCCCGCTCTGAATTATTGATACTCAAGATGTATGTTTTTTTTTTTTCCCCGTTTGCCTAGTGAGGTTTCACTTCTCCGAGCCGCCAACGAAGTTTGTCTGAAAGAAAGGAAATGGCTCAAAACTAGAAAAAAAAATTACCATAAACGTGTCCACGCTGGCGCTCACAGAAATAATCTTTGATCTACGTCCTACAGTGACAAAATCAAAAGAGAAACTCTAAATAAGGGGCATTCTTCAGTCTGTAGGTCTGTGTTTGAATGTGCACGTTCTTCTCTCTGTGAAATACGTGCACAGTCTGTGCAGCTTCACTTCTAGTGTGACTCTGCAGGATCTGTATTTGTTGTGCCGTTCTGCGCCGGTCAGTCTCCGACAGAAACAAAAGGATCCTCTTATTGATCCCTGTGGTGCATTTGGGTCAGACTTCCTGTTCCATTAGTGTCTCCCCTCCTTTGTTTCCTTCGCTAGGACTGCTGCTGGGCTCTGTTTTTGTCTTTGAGGTCAAAGGGCACAAAGTAGCCCCTTCAGGGAAGAGTAACCTCAAAAATACGACTGTGCCTCATATAATCGAAATATGTTGGTTTTTTTATTCTGAAAGAATCAGAAAAGGTTTTTTTTAGCTGCAACAAAACTCATAATACATTCATTCATTCAATCTTTATGTATACAGGTTAGTCTCATGCCAGACTAAAAGTTCCATACAAATTTTTATCAATACACTAAGTTTTATTAAATGTATACCGTACTTGCCGCCGTACACGTTGCATCGCCGTATAAGTCGCATCAATTGTGCGTCACCGCTGACCAGCCAGAAACTTGGTCCGGTGTTGTGCCAAAAATCGATTGGCTGACAAATGGCGGCCGTGGGAGGACTTTAACAAGATTGACACTTAAAAACAATTGTTTGTTTGCTCGAAATTATAGCAAAGATGTGTCTCAGTTGAACTTTTCCTTAATAAATGCACTTCAGTGGTCAAATCAGCTGCATTTCGTCTGGGTGGTGCAGAGAAATGCAGCTGATTGAATGTTTGCTCCAGGTGTTCCAGAGCGAGATGAAGGTGGCTCAGTATGGCAAGCCAATTGTCTCATTAATAGCCACTTTTACCTATTAATGAGACATTTGGCTTGCCATATAGGTTGAGAGCCCTCTGGTGGCTGAAAATGGTAGTGTTCAATATTTTCTATGTTGGAATAAATTAAATCGTCAGATCTCAGGCAAAAATTGGTTTATAAATATGGGGAAAAACATAAATAAGTCGTTTCGCTGTATAAGTTGCCGGCATGCTAATTTATGCAAAAAAGTGTGACTTATACAGCGAAAAGTATGGTAATTTTATATGGCAAAAAAATATAATTTTTTTTTAAATTGTTTTTTATACAGAAAACACATCCTGATTATAAAAAGTAAATTTTGATTAAAAAAAAATTGTAATATTGAGTGGAGTTGAAACAGGAATTGTTTGAAATTTTGACAGGACTTTAGTTTCTTTCTGTTGGGCTTAGTCGTTTGTTTATTTTATTTATTTATTTTTTATGTCTATATTAAAATTATATTTTCATGTGTAATAAAAATGAAGCTGAAATAGAAACAGAGTATTGATGTACACTACCTGGCCAAAAAAAAAAAAAAAAAAAAAAAATCACCACCTGGATTTAACTAAGCAAATAGGTACGAGCCTCCTATTGGATAATTACTGCATGGGCAATTATATTTCAGCTGCAACAAGTTATTTAATCCCAACTGATGCAATGAGTTGCTTCTCATTTCTTAAAAAGACGCATCGCGTGGTCGCGGAAAAGATGTCGGTCTGTTTGAGAAGGGTCAAATCATTGGCATCAAGTAGAGAAAACATCTAAGGAGATTACATAAACTAAAATTGGGTTAAGAACTGTCTAACGCATTATTAAAAACTGGAAGGACAGTGGGGACCCATCGTCTTCAAGGAAGAAATGTGGCCGGAAAAAAATCCTGAATGATCGTGATCAGCGATCACTTAAACGTTTTGTGAAATCAAGTGGAAGAAAAACAACAGTAGCACTCAGGGCTATGTTTAATAGTGAAAGTAAGAGCATTTCCACACGCACAATGTGAAGAGAACTCAAGGGATTGGGACCGAACAGCTGTGTAGCCTTAAGAAAACCACTAATCAGTGAGGCTAACTGGGGAAAAAAAGGCTTCAATTTGCTAGGGAGCATAAAGATTGGACTCTGGAGCAATGGAAGAAGGTCATGTGGTCTGATGAGTCCAGATTTACCCTGTTCCAGAGTGATGGGTGCATCAGGGTAAGAAGAGAGGCAGGTGAAGTGATGCACCCATCATGTCTAGTGTCTAGTCATCAATGCAAGATCTTGGGGAAACATTAATGCAAAACTGGACGGAAATAGATCTTGTGACGTTGCAGAAGCTTATCGAAACAATGACCCAGTGAATGCTGCTGTAATCAAAGCTAAAGGTGGTCCAACAAAATATTAGTGTGACCTTTTTTTTTTTTTTTTGGTGGCAACTTTTTTTTTTGGGCCAGGCAGTGTATGTTAAGTGGCTTTCACACTTAATTTAAAGTAAGATGTGCATATGTCAAATCACCACAACTTAAATGAGCTTGCTGGTGAAGCTTTTCAGCCATCCAGGTCTTAGTAAATAAATAAAAAAAAAGGTTAAAAAACAAAACAACTGGACTTCTGTTCTGAAGATGTTTCGCTTCCCGTCTGGGAGGCTTTATCAATTCAAAAGTGATGATGACATTATGAAAAAAACATTTGGGACATTAATAGAGTGATGTCAACGTTTTTGACCAGATCGTCTTTTTGTGTTTCTGCAGTGGCGTTTAAAAACCAGCCTAACAAACTAAACAAGAGCAGTAACCACGACAACGGCTGCACGACTTCACGAGCTGCAGACGGATGGATACCTGAAGGAGAGCTGCTGCTTCAGGTTGGTGACCAACCACAACCCGTTCTTCTCGTTCTCGTTCTTCTGAACCGTCCACGTCTCAGCACAAGAAGCAGGAGAAATCAAAAACAAAAGGGTTTGCATCTCAGGATGTTGTTTGTCCTGAGATGGCAGGTGACAGTCCTTCAGGAGACTTCATTAAACGTCTTGTAAACGGTCTGCGTCTAATGGAGAGGCAGACAGGTTTGTGGTTCTCATGTAAATGTACACCTGTTCATCCGATGCTGAAAACAGAATCTGACATGCCTCTCAGTCCTCTCAGCGCCTCGGTTACCAAAAGGAGCCAAAATTTAAAAACTTTGCCCGAGCCACGGACCACTTTCAGCTGATACGTTCTTGGTTGCTGGTTCACGAACAAGAGTTTGATCTGTCTCACTTGACGTTGTGTTGCTCTTTCCATCAGAAACAATAATGATAGAATGCTCCAGCGGTCTTTCTGGCTTCAAAGTTAGCCAGCTGCCAAGAGAAGTCTACACTAAATGATGTATTTATCAGTTGTTTTAAAGAAAAATTAAAATTACATTTAAATTATCATCTTGGTGGACCAGATTTGTGTGTTGGACAGTTCTGGAGCCACCTTCCGTAATCTGCATCTTCTTGCAGGTTTTTAAAGCTCAATTATTAAACCTAAATTTGCATTCTGTTTTTTTTTATTATTTTTTTTCCACTCCTGGTTGTTGTCAACCTATTTTTTATTGTTCAATAAAAAAAAAAAAAGAGTAATATTTTGTGTATAAAAAAAAAAAAAAAAAATACGATGCAGTCTAAAACAAAAAGAAGCTCGGACTAATAAAACCGAAAGATATTAACGTGCTCTAATCTGACTCGTACTTTGGAAACACATTGTGTTTAAATTACAAACCGGATTCCAAAAAAGTTGGGACACTAAAGAAATTGTGAATAAAAACTGAATGCAATGATGTGGAGGTGCCAACATCTAATATTTTATTCAGAATAGAACACAAATCACAGATCCAAAGTTTAAATTGAGAGAATGTATCATTTTAAGGGAAAAATCTGTTGTTTCCAAATTTCATGGCGTCAACAAATCCCAAAAAAGTTGGGACAAGTCCATTTTTACCACTGTGTGGCATCCCCCCTTCTTCTTACAACACTCAACAGACGTCTGGGGACAGAGGAGACCAGTTTCTCAAGTTTAGAAATAGGAATGCTCTCCCATTCATGTCTAATACAGGCCTCTAACTGTTCAATCGTCTTGGGCCTTCTTTGTCGCACCTTCTTCTTTATGATGTGCCAAATGTTCTCTGTAGGTGAAAGATCTGGACTGCAGGCTGGCCATTTCAGTACCCGGATCCTTCTCCTACGTAGTCATGATGTTGTGATTGCTGCAGAATGTGGTCTGGCATTATCGTGTTGAAAAATGCAGGGTTTTCCTTGAAAGAGATGACGTCTAGATGGGAGCATATGTTGTTCTAGAACCTGAACATAGTTCTCTGCATTAATGGTGCCTTTCCAGACATGCAAGCTGCCCATGCCACAAGCGCTCATGCAACCCCATACCATCAGTGATGCAGGCTTCTGAACGGAGCGTTGATAACAACTTGGGCTATCCTTGTCCTCTCTGGTCCGGATGACATGGCGTCCCAGTGTTCCATAAAGAACTTCAAATCTTGACTCATCTGACCACAGAACAGGCTTCCATTTTGCCACACTCCATTTTAAATGACCCCTGGCCCAGTGCAAACGTCTGAGCTTGTGGAGCTTGCTTAGAAATGGCTTCCTCTTTGCACTTTAGAGTTTCAGCTGGCAACGGCAGATGGCACGGTGGATTGTGTTCACTGACGATGCTTTCTGGAAGTATTCCTGAGCCCATTCTGTTGTTTCCTTGACAGTGGCATTCCTGTTTGAGATGCAGTGACGTTTAAGGGCCTGGAGATCACAAGCATCCAGTAGAGTTTTACGGCCTTGACCCTTGCGCACAGCGATTGTTCCAGATTCTCTGAATCTTTTGATGATGTTATGCACGGTTGATGATGATAACTTAAAAGTCTTTGCTTTTTTTACGCTGGGTAACACCATTCTGGTATTGCTGCACTATCTTTCTGTGCAACAATGGTGGAATTGGTGATCCTCTTACCTTCTTGGCTTCTGAGAGACACTGACACTCTGAGAAGCTCTTTTTATACCCAATCATGTTGTCACTTGACCTAATTAGTATTAATTGGTCTTCCAGCTGTTCGTTATATGCTCAATTTCCTTTTTCCAGCCACTTATTGCTACTTGTCCCAACTTTTTTGGGATTTGTTGACACTGTGAAATTTTGAATCAACATATTTTTTCCTTTAAAATGTTACATTTACTCAGATTAAATTTTTGATCTGTCATGTATGTTATATTACGAATAAAATATTGACATTTGCCATCTCCACATCATTGCATTCAGTTTTTATTCACAATTTGTTTAGTGTCCCAACTTTTTTGGAATCTGGTTTGTACATTATTCTCAAAGTTTACCAGTCACATGATTACCGGTAGTTCTTGCTTCTCTAGACTTTATAGGGTGCTGGGCAAATCGTACCCTCACTTCAGAGCCAACAAGTGTCTTTTTTTTGCACTGCTTTAGATAAATCGATAAATTAATAACAAACAATCCTTAAAAAAAACATAATAAATGCATGCCAAAGTTTTAAAAAACAGGTTTGCATGATATGTTAGCACTCGAGTTGAGTTTTAGGAAGACTTCTTCCAGGCAAATAGTAACTTTAATAAACCATGTGGGTCGTATTATTCGTTTTTTAAATAATTTATAAAGACAAAAACCAAACTGTAACCTTTCTGTCCGAATTTTTGCTAACTACGACCCGACATTAAGACGTGAAACGACCCGTAAATACCAGCAAGGTCAAAGTTCGGCTGTAGCGTGTATTATTGTTGGTTATCTTGCTCACATCTCTGAAGCTCTTGAAGGTCAGTTTCTCTCTCATCTTCAGGAGATAATGTATAGACTGTCCATGAAGCTAAACAGGTTCATTTAAAATGTGGGCGGAGCTAAAATATACGTATATTTCTTCATCAGGTTTCTTTTAAATCAGAGGCAATGAAGAACTTTTGACTAAATCTATAAAAACAGTTGCATTTTAATGCTTGATATAGCAGTTAATCAGGTGATTATGTTGCATTCACGTTGATAAAATAATAATTTTCTATCATATTTTGTACTATGTGTGCATTTTTTACATTGAACAGATGTCTGATAAAAGAGGATGAAGTTACAGCCTGATTGGATATATTATATGATGAATACTTTGTTGACAGAGCGCTTTATATAGCAAAAATTAATTAATGGATGAATGCACTATTTGGAAAAACCCACAATATTTTCTGAAAATCAATCGTTTTGAGTTTTGGTTCAAAATAAATACATTTTTTTTAAACAAACTAAGTGGCCTTGACTATAATGAATGGCACCCTTTAATTCATTTGGTGTTGCACAACCTTTGAGGCAATCACCGCAACCAAGTGATTTCTGTAACTCAGATTTTGGCGCCTGTCCTCAGGTATTTTGGTCCACTCATCATGAGCAAACTGCTCCAGCTTACAAATCTTATTGTTCCATATAGCACATATAGCACTTCGCTGTCAGACTGCAGGCTTACTTGCGGTTCCTAGAGTTTCCAAAAGCAGAATGGGAGGAAGATCTTCCAGTTATCAGGCTCCTCTCTTGTGGAACCAACTTCCAGTTTCTGTCCGTGAGGCTGACACATTGTCCAGTTTTAAGACTGGGCTGAAGAGTTTTATTTTTGATAAATCCTATAGTTAGGGTTTGGCTTGTTATGGGGGGTGGGTGATATGGCTCAAATATGATATTGTGATATTTCAGATAGGGGTGGGTGCACCAATTTTATCGGCCGGCCGATAATCGGAAATCAGCTGCTACTTGCACGAGAACCCGATTTTACAGGGTTTTTTTTTAGTTTTAACAATAACTGTCTGAACTTCATTTATATTTCAGAGCACTACCTCATGGCTAGTTAAAACAAGTTTGTATTGTTTAAGGTGCATTGTGACTTTATAACACCTGACAGTGTCGTGTACAAAACAAAATTGGTACCGGACGAAATTGGAATCGGGAGGTCAGACTTTTTGGAAATCGGTGATCTGCCAGAAAACTGCAATCGGTGCACCCCTAATTTCAGAGCATTCTGCCAATAACTATAAATTTTGTGAAATAACAAAAAACAAACAGATATCGTAGTTATTCATTTGACAAAATTAACTTAACATGTTGTTTTGCAATATTATATACGCAAAAACTAAAACAAACCAAAAAAACAAGGGTTAATTTTATTGCAATTACTTTATTTAGTAGAGTATTCAGTCTAAAAGTGTAAAAATAAAAATGATCCTTCTGTTATTTAGATTGAAAAAGTCTGCACAAAATCTAGATCAACAAAATCCGCCACAAAAACTAAAGTGCAGGTGAAGTTAATAAACTAAATAAAATGAAAGCTTAAGATCTGTTGAGCGTAACATACAAGAAAATATATGTCGCCTTTAAATGAGCTATAACTTCCACAAGTTGTGACAAGGTGTCTTCAGCTGAGCTTGTGTTGGTGTTTCAGCTTTATCTGTTCTTGCAGGAATAAATCCATTTCTCTGATACTCTGTCTTTGCTCACCTGCCTTTTTTCTTGGTCCATGGACTGTGGAGCTCAAGAGACCCAGCTGAGCTGCGCATGTTTGTACTGGTAGTTTGAGCGATGCCTTTCTTTAGCTTTTTAGCTATATTGCACGCGGCTAGCTTAGCGTTACGTCAGTACTGGTGGGGGGTGCGCAGTTCGGTTCGGTAGTTCGGCGAGCTGGGTTCTGTTAACGGGGCGGGGCGCCCCACTTGTAGAATGGTAGCGGGAAACACTGACGTATTTACATCATGAAATTAGCATATCATGATATCATTTATTTTCCCGGGCAAGTTTTTTTTATCGGTATTATCGTGAACAATATGATATGGCCCAGCCCTAAATTGAATAGTTTTCATTTGATACTATTTCTGTCTTAACATGTGATTCTTGACCTGCCATTGTGTATCTGTTCTTCTCAAACCCAGCCGGTCGAAGCAGATGGCCGCTTGTCCTGAACCTGGTTCTGCTAAAGGTTTCTTCCTCATGAGGGAGTTTTTCCTTTCCACTGTCGCCTTCATGCTTGCTCAAGATGAGTCTGCGACAAAGTTAAACTCAAATCAGTCTGCTCCTCAGATAAATAATGTTATTAACTTACTTTATATATATATGAATGTTTCTGTTCAGTGCCCTGAGATGACTTCTGTTGTGACTTGGAGCTATACAAATAAACTGACTTGAATTGAACTCAACTCAACTTCAACTCAACTTTATTTTGGTAAATTAAAAACATTACAAAAAAAGGAAAACAGTATAAAATGGAAAATCAATTATTTACCAAAAAAAGGAATAGGCTGAAGCCAAGGCTTATACTTGCCTACTCTGTTCATAGACTCAGCATTCTACATAATGACAGATATCTACTGTCCATATACATAAGTACAAATACAGACATTTACCGTATATTTAAATATGCATGTATATAATACATACACATACTCACATTACATACATACATGGTTATACAATACATCTACATAAGCTTTTATAATTTTACATTTTAAGGCTCTTAAATTTCACCAAAAAAAACATAATTTGAGGTTGTCATTCAATTCATTCCACAGTTTCACTGATAATTGAAATACATCTAGATTTTACTTTACTTTTTTCTTTAGCTTGTTCAAATATTAACAAACCTCATAAATTATATTTACTCTCTCTTAACTTAAATAATTTCTGAATTTCAGAAGGAAGACTTTTATTCAGTGCTTTATACATTATTTCCAGTATTTTTATATAAACAGTGTCATTAAATTTTTAAGTATTTCATTGACTATAGAGTTTATTAGTTGGTTCACAATATCCCACTTTATTAATAACTCTAATTGCTTTTTTTTGTAACTTTCTTAATATGTCAATAGTAGTTTTAGTTGCATTTCCCCACATTTCTGAGCAATATGACAAGTAGGGCATAATCAAGGAAGAGAATATAGTATGCAAGTCTTTTACATTTATTAAATCGTTTATTTTAAACAATATTCCAATAGCTTTTGCAATTTTATTTTTAATATATTCAATATGAGGCTTCCAACAAAGTTTGTTGTCCAGAATGATACCTAAAAATGCTGTCTCATAAACTGTTGATTTCAACTCCATTTATATGTAACTTTACATTATTGTAAATCCGATTAGCAGAAAATACCATAAATTTAGTTTTTTTTTTTTTTTTCCATTTAAAGATAGCTTATTATAATCAAACCACTTTTTTAACTCTACATATTTGATTAATAATAATAATAATTGAATTCAAATGATCATTTTGGAGGATCCAACCTGGGACTGAGACCAAGTTTATGGACTCTGGGCAGCACATTTTAATCTATAAAGCCTTGATAGTCTTGAGATTTCAATGCACCCTGCACAGGTTCAGGACCCCCTGTGTCAGATGCAGCAAAGCAGCTCCAGAACAGAACCGAGCCTCCTGCATGTTTCACTGTAGGTTAGGCTTTCAGAAAATGTTGCTGCAGTTTTAAGTTAAAAGTGAACCAGGTTTAGGAAACTGAAAATCCTGAATCAAAGTTACCTCAATAAGGCACTGGAGAGCAGTCACTTAATATCTTTACTACAAAAAATAACTCAGGTTTTCTGCTTTCTGCCTGATCCTATGAATTATTCAGCAGCGCAGAGAAACCTTCATGAGCTCATACATTTGTGACATCATGGATAAAAGTACTCCAAAGGAAATGAGGATGACTGTATTAGCGCATGTGTCTGATCCGATGAAGAGTGCGTTCTTATAAAAGTCGTAAACATCTTCATTCTCATCGGGCGTATGCTGGCAGGATGCCATCGCGGCTTCTTGGAGCGTTGGGATACGGTGTCATCACCTCCTCAAGAAGCCCCGAGGCTCAAGGAGGATGATGATGGAGGTGTTACTCATCCACTCCTCCTCTTCCTCCTCCACATGACTCCTCTTTGCCTCGACATCTTCTCAGTTCCGTTTTCATGTTGTCTCGCCCCTGATGTTTTTTCCTTCTTTTCTTTTTTTTATCTCCCACTGACCCATTTCTTTGCCCTTATTTAATTCAATTCAATTCAGTTTATTTCTATAGCACCAAGTCACAACAGAACACGTCTCAAGGCACTGAGCAGAAACATTCATATATAAAAATAATAATTTAACATTATTTATCTGAGGAGCAGACTGCTTTGAGTTTAACTTCATTGCAGAACTCTCATCTTGAGCAAGCATGAAGGCGACAGTGGAAAGGAAAAACTCCCTCATGAGGAAGAAACCTTTAGCAGAACCAGGCTCAGGACATGCGTCCATCTGCTTCAACTGGCTGGATTTGAGAGGAACAGATACACAATGGCAGGCCGAGAATCACATGTTAAGATATAAATAGTATCAAATGAAAGCTTTTCATTTTTAGGGATTTATTTAAGGAAATGAGGTCAATTTGTCCTCTAGTAGTCTAAGCCTATAGCAGCATAACAAGCCAAACCCTAACTATAAGATTTATCAAAAAGGAAAGTCTTAAACTGGACAATGTGTCAGCCTCACGGACAGAAACTGGAAGTTGCTTCCACAAGAGAGGAGCCTGATAACTGAAAGATCTTCCTCCCATTCTGCTTTTGGAAACTCTAGGAACTGGAAGTAAACCTGCAGTCTGAGAGCGAAGTGCTCGGTTAGGAAAATATGGAACAATAAGATCTGTAATATACATAAGATGGAGCTAGGTTGTTGAGGGCTTCGTAGGTTAGAAGTAAGATTTTAAATTAAATTCTGGACTTGACATGAAGCCAATGGAGAGAAGCTAAAACTGGAGAGATATGATCTCTCCCACTAACTCCAGTAACATTTTTAATGTGGGGGATAAAAGACATGTCCTGATCAAAAATAACACCAAGATTTTTTAACATTAGAGCTGGAGGACAGATTAATGGCATCTAAGGAGGGAGAAAGACTGAAAATGTTATTCTTAAGATGCTCAATTCCAAAAACCAAAACCTCAGTCTTGTCTGAGTTTAAAAGCAGAAAATTAAGGGTCATCCAGGTTTTTATGTCTTTAAGACATGCTTGTAGTCCACTATCTGCTCCCCTGGATGCCCTAGATGCACACAGAGCGCTGTGGTAACTCAGTGGTCTGTGATTGCGACAGGAAGGGCATCCTGCGTAAAAATAATTGCCAAGTCTTGGTGCGACTGTGGCGACCCCTGAAGAAGGGAGCAGCTGGAAAAAAAAAAAGACTTGCTTGTATTTAAGTAACTGATTGGATTCATTGGGTTTCATGGACTGATATAACTGTGTATCATCAGCATAACAATGAACATTTATCCCATGCTTTTTAACAACTTTACCAATTGGCATATATAAGGTAAAGAGAATTGGTCCAAGCACTGAACCCTGAGGAACTCCATGACCAACTAAACTAAAAGTTCTTGTGCCCATTTCAGGGCATTTCAAGTTCAAGTATTTTTCTTGTCATTCGCATCACACGTGGTACATGAGGTGGAACGAAATTGTGTACTTGTGGTCACTTGTGAATAACGCCAGAGCCGAGAGTGTCCTAACACTGTTTCATATAAGGTTCTTTTCATCTAAAGCCATCGATTAGCCCTATGATTATTAACAGATGATGCGATTTGTCCCTGCAGGCTCTGAACGGGTTCGTCTTGGTGGTGACGGCTGAAGGAAACATCTTCTTCTGCTCTAATACCATCCAGGATTTCCTCGGCTTCAATCAGGTGCGTTATTTTTCTATTGCTTTATTGTTTGTTTTTTTCAGCGGTTTGAGCTCAAACTGCCTCCATCTGCAGCAAAGCAGAACTAAACCGAAGCTTTGCAGTCAGTGAGTGAACACTTGGTCCTCAGCGGTCAGAGGATTGTAATAAAATGCACATATGGAGCAGGAGGTTTAATCCAATTAGCGCCACAACAAAGCACCACTTCCTCCACTCTAATCTCCTTTTAGAGAACCTTCTTATTACTGTAGTCAACGTCTGCCTGCCTGGTTGACACACAATCTGCATGTAAATATCTGGAAGCTGTGAATCATACCAACTCTTTGTTTTATACTCAGAATCGAGGTGCGAGCATCACCTTTCTCCCCTCACGACACCATCCACTTAAAGCCTGTCACTTCCTGTTTACCGTCCTGATCAGTTTAAAGTGCTATTTGGAGGTAATTGTTTTAACAGAGGACATCATATATACTCGCTGCCTTCAGAATGAACAGGGGCTTAAGGTCAATTATCGGATCAAGTGCTGAAAGTATCAGACGTTATTGGCTTTAACTGTGTTGATTTATTATTAAGATCACGGTTTCATCTGGTAAGTAAAACAGAAGAAAGCTACTAAGCTAACCACGCACACTTCAGCACTGTGAGCTGACCACACTGACCCAGAACCAGCAGCCTACGTACAGTCTTAAACGGAGCACTTCATTTAACACTTCAGCCTGTCAAAATTCCTTCATCTGACCTGGCTTTGACTCCCCCCTCTGGGATTCCACTCATGTCCCAAAGCCGAGCTAGTCTGGTTGTGAACGGCACGCATCAAAGTCACTGCGGGCTTTGTTTCAGCTCTTTGACTCGAACGTACAGCGGCGGTATTTTTTTTGCTACCGCCAGAAACTTCTCTCTACAGTCTGGAGTTTCCATCCAATCGTGAGAAACACCAGATTACTTTCAGGCTTTTAATGATTTTTTTTTTTTTTTAATCGTTCTTTTTCTAGGGTGGAATGATTAAGACAACTTTGAATTTACTAGGGTTTGCCTCCTAAATTATACATAGAAGGCCAAATGTATTCATACACCCCTCTAATATTTGGTTCAGTGTTTCTAAGTAGGTGACCGCAGGCTTTTTTGTCTCCATCAACAAGCTTCTGGCAAAATTGGTGGTTTGTTTAAATTTGTTGGATTTCCTGCATGGAAAATTTTAATCCATTTAGGGTCTCGCTGATCTGCTGCAGCCATATGTCATACATCGCTCTCTGAGGTCAGCAGATCAGATGCTTCTATTGGTTCCAGGAGCCTGTCTTAAGCTCAGAGGTGACAGGGCCTTCTCTGTTGCAGGTCCAAGATTGTGGAATGAGTTACTACTGCATGTCAGGCAGGTGCTCCCTCTCTCACTGATTTGAAGTCTTGCTTAAAAACCCACTTTTATTCCCAGGCTTTTGACACAGTGTGATTTGTTTTTAACCTGTCTGTATACACAGTTGTTTACTCTCAAGCAAAAACAGTTGCTAAGATTTTCCAGCTTTTTCAATCTGCTTTTGACATAATCCAATTAGATTTGTTCTGTCTCAAACTTGTCCTAAACGCTGATAAAACCAAAGGGATGCTTTTTTTCCAAACAGGAAGCCGGTCCCAGCAGTTCTTCCTCTGATTTTATCCTCAAATGGTGTCCCTATTGAATTTGTTGATTCCTACACATGTTTGGGTATCTTGGTCGACTCGCATCTCTCTTTTAAGCTCCATGTGGAAAACCTAGTAAAGAAACTGAAAGTTAAACTGGGTTTCTTTTTCAGAAATAGATCCTGTCTAATTCTGAATGCTAGGAAACACCTTGTAACTGTGACTTTCCTTCCCTCCATTGACTACGATGACATTATTTACATGAATGCTCCTACAAGAACCCTGCAGATGTTGGATGCTGTCTATCACGGTGCACTAAGATTCATAACTGGCTGATTATCGTACCCACCACTGCACCCTGTATTCACTGGTTCACTGGTCATCATTAACTTCACGCAGACTCTCCCACTGGTACATTTTCATCTTTAAATCACTTCTTGGTCTGCTGCCTTCATACATCTCCTCCTACATATGTCTGTATGAGTGCAGCTACAGCGTGCGCTCTCAGGACATTATTACCTGCAGTGTCCCCTCAGTGAGAACTGAACTAGGCAAAAGGGCCTTCTCCTACTCCGCTCCTGTTTCCTGGACTATCTTACAAAAAGATCTGAAGCTCTCGAACTTGACCTCTCTAAGTGGCTTCAAACATCTGAAGTTCCTGGCAAGAACCAATGCAGACATGTTCCTGGTTTTAATTTTCTACACCGCCTTGTAATCTCGCTGTTTTTTCGCTACTTTTCCTTTTAATTAGCATTTTATTTTATTGAATTTCTTTAAATAAAAAAAGTTGTATGCATCCTTTATGATTGTCTGTTATGGGGGCCGAGATGGTGTAGAGGCAGGGCAGCCGGCTCGGGACCGAAAGTCCCAGGTACGATCTCCGGCCACTGCGTACCTTGTGGTGTCCCTGGGCAGCACACCCCATCCCCAAAATGCTCCCCAGGCACCTTCAATAGCTGCCCACTTCACCATCCGGTGGTGGATGGGTTAAATGCAGAGACTAATTTCGCCATTGTATGGAAACATACAGTGATGACATTATTATTGTTATTATTATTATTGTCTTTGTTATCCACTGTTGTCCTCATTCTTTGTTAAAATCAGGTCTCTCTTGTAAATGAGTCCCCGAGGCTCAATTGGATTAATCTGTCTAAATAAAGGTTGAATGAATTCTACAATGTTAGACATTTAGTTATCTTCTTCTATTTGGATCCATGTATTTTCTTGCTGTGTCCTTTGCTTGTTTGTTTCTGCTCTACAGCACTTTGGTTGGCCTTGTTGCTGTTTTAAGTGCTTTATAAATAAAGTGGTATGGTATGATAGGGTCAGAGGTTTCAGAAGCCTAATGCTAGCTTTATTTAGCTGATCAGAAACCAGTTTTGATGTAAAGAAAAGTAAAGTGCAATAGGTTGTCATCATTGTATGTATGTTCCCATACAATGGCAAAATTAGTTCTCTGCATTTAACCCATCGGACCTGGGATACACCCAGGTGGAGCAGTGGGCAGCTATGTGAGCACCCAGGGAGCAATTGGGGATTAGCTGTCTTGCTCAGAGACACCACAACATGTGGTGGCTGAGGATCAAACCTGGGACTTTCGGGTCCCAGGTCGGCTGCCCTACCTCTACCATATGTATGTTCGGGAGCATGGTACTTTTGGAACACTCAACCGCACCTAAGTCTCATGCATCCAGCCCCGCAGCATGATGCTACTACCACCATGCTTGACTGTTAGTACAGTGTGCTTAAAGTGGATGAGGACTTTTGCACAATGTCGCAAATCCACAGAAAGCACAGAGTAGGATGAGCTGACTCTGATGTGTTGCTTTGTGTGTGAGAAGTCAGCAGCTGAGCTCCTAATTCAAATGACAAGTGTGTAAATCCACGTGAGTACAGTAAGAGCATCTGAGAGCTGCTTTAAAGGGCAGCACGGTGGTGCAACTGGTAGAGCTGCTGCCTCTTAGTGAGCAGGCCCTTGGTTCAAATCCCGATCCAGGGGCCTTTCTGGGTGGAGTTTGCATGTTCTCTCAGTGCATGCGTGGGTTTTCTCTGGGTACTCCGGTTTCCTCCCACAGACCAAAAACATGCATGTTAAGCTGATTGGGAACTTTTAAATTGTCCCTAGGTGTGAGTGAGAGAGTGAATGGTTGTTTGTCTCTATGTGGCCCTGTGAAGGACTGGAGACCTGTCCAGGGTGTACCCCGCCCCTTGCACAGTGATTGCTGGACATAGGTACCGGCGAACCCCGTGACCCAAAATGGAAGAAGCGGGTAAAAGATAATGGATGGATGGAACTTGAATTTATCTGAAAACAGCTAAAAAATCCTTAAAAAGGTAGCTGAAAAATTAGAACAAACTTAAATTAGTTTGCCCAATTGGGATTAAGATTTCAGCAACAGAAATGAGTACAAAAATGTAGCAATTATCTAAAAAAAGCTGAAAATAGCAACCAAAAAAAAAAAAAACCCTGCTGAAAAGTAGCTAAAAAAGTAGAAAGAAGCTTAAATTTCTAGAAGGAATTGGAGAGCGCACATTTTTTGCTGAATTAGGTCGAAAAACGTTTAAATGTTTGCAAAAAAATATGGAATTAGCTGAAAAGGATAAAATTAGCATTAAAACAACTAACTAGAAGCTGAAATAGCAGAAATGATTAAGCTTGCATAAATGAGCTGAAAGGAGCATAACAAGCTGAAATTAGCAGAAAGAAGTTAGAAGAAGTACAAAAATGTTGTAGTTAGCAGAAAGAATCTTAAAGGAGCACAAAACAGATGGAAAAAAAGCAGCTGAAAGTCGCTGAAACAATGTTTAAATTTTGAAGAAAGAAGCTGAAGCAGAACAAAATGTGAAAGTAGCAGCAAAAGATTGTAAACAGATCTAAAGATTTGAAGGATGTAAAATGAGCTCAATTCATTTCCTATGAGAAAAGAAATGGCAGAAAAAGCTAAATATTTCAAAAAGCTAAAGCTGCACCAAAATCAAAAGCTATAGCACCCTTCTCCTGAACGAGCTGCGCGTTTTGATATATGATTTATTGAAATGGCACAAAAATTGCGGAACGAGAACAATGCCAAAAATGTGAATGCTTCATAAAACATCCACACTATAACGACAAATACATTTTTAAATTAGAGCTGCTGTTCTGTAAAACTTCCTGTTAATCTACTGATCAATATTATCACAACCAAGAGCAGTTTATTAGGTTGTTCCAAAGAAATTATACCTGTATATTATGATATTTCATGGATTGTTGTTGCATCATCACATATCTGCACTTTTATCTTTTCGAGTGTCTTATTCGTTGAGTTTGTTTGTAAACAGTAATTAATACCTACAGCCATCTGTTTATAAGTATGAGCTGAAGAAATAATTGTGTTCAGATGAAGTTTTAACGTTTCTGATCATTTGGAGGAAAGTGTAACGCGTTAGCTTAATAAGAATCAACAAGGTTTACTGTGTTTGGCTCATTTTGTGCAGACTGTCAGTAAATGTGGTCAAACCATTGTCCTGTGCTGTTCTCCTGTCAGACTGATGTGATGCACCAGAGCGTGTTCGAGCTGATCCACACTGAAGACCAGCAGGAGTTCAAAAGGAACCTGCACTGGGCCCTGAATCCTCCGGTCAGCCTGGAACCCCCCACCGATCCTGCAGGTCTGTTTCCTGAGGACTCAACAAGTCCACGTTGTGTGATGTGATGCAGGAGGATCTGCATTTGTAACTGTGAGGGAGCTGAGCTGCAGCAGGAAGGAGTTCAACACATGCTGCAGCTTAAAAGCCTCAGACACGGTTTCTCCTTCTGAATGTGAGGTCAGGAGGAGGTGACCTTTGAGTAAAACCTCCTGAGATGTGCTCTAAATGTTACAACACACACACACACAGCAGAAAGCAGCTCTCCGATGCTCTTACTGTACTCACGTGGATTTACACACTTGTCATTTGAATTAGGAGCTCAGCTGCTGACATCTCACACACAAAGCAACACATCAGGGTCAGCTCATCCTACTCTGTGCTTTCTGTGGATTTGCGACATTGTGCAAAAGTCCTCATCCACCAATCAGTTCTTTATATTTACCTACATTTGATCCAGGCTTTCCTGCAATCTTTTAAAATGGTCTTGAAACCTTCTGACGGACTTGGAAAAAAATTCTACAGACTTCGGGTGATTGTTCTTACACCTGTGAGCTGAAAACTACCACACACTTTTCCTGTTTAAGCCTTTTTATCTGCTGTAAATAGTTTTTTTTTAAAGCTCAACTTGGTTATTTATTTTTGTCCTTCGCTTTTTTGTTTTTACCACCAGCTGCACATTAAGCGCCATCAGTTACAAGCAGGGCTTAATTTGAGCCAGATCCTGCCAGAACAGGATCCGGGAACTTTCAGGCTTATTAATAATAAAGTTGCAAACAATTTTGACGTCCTTGAACAAATAAAACTTATGTTTATGTAAAATTACATAAACACTCATTTTAAACACAACAGCCACTTACGAGCTTCTTAATATCATGACCGTCTGCCCCTTCAATTAAGCATTTCCGTTTCTACCCTTAAAAAAATCTCCACCCCTAAAAGTCAAAAGTCAGCACGCATTTTTATTCAAAACTCAAAAATATAACTCAACAGTACCAAAAAAATAGCTAATCAGTTTTATAGTTGAAGTGGGTCATTATTAAAATTTTGATTATTTATTAAAAATACAACAAAATAAATGTTGTGTGTATTATTCACATTAATCACGTATCAAAACAATGGCACTAATTTGTCAAAACAACAGCGATCAAAACGTTCAAGACAGTCCAGTTTACTTTAATTATTAAAAAAAGGCTTCTCATTGTCCTTAGTTGGCCAACTGAGAATTGAAGCACTTGAAGGCGGCGACAATTGAGTCAGGAGCGAGTGAGTGGTGGTGGTGGTGGTGGGGTGGGGGGGTGAGCTCCGAGCTAACCAGGCAGTCGTACAGATGCTTGACAGAAGCGCAGCTGCTCTATTCACACACAAAGAGAGAGCTGCTGTTGGTGTTGTTGTTCTCAAAAATAGATATTTAATCAAGTGTTTACAAATGTAGGTAAACAAACATAGGTGTTAACAACCCGTTAAAATACACCAGAATGCAGGAAATGGCATCTACCATATTTTTCACTGTATAAGTCACAGCTTTTCGCATAAATTAGCATGCCCTGCAACTTGTACAGCGAAGCAACGTATTTATGTTTTTCCCCATATTTAAAACCCAATTTTTGTCTGAGATCTGACGATTTCATTCATTCTGACATGGAAAATATTGAACACTACTATTTTCACCCACTAGAGGGCGGTCAAGTAATATGGCAAGCGAAGTGTCTCATTAATAGGTAAAAGTGGCTATTAATGAGATACTTGGCTTGCCATACTAAGCCACCTTCGTCTCGCTATGGAACTCCTGGAGCAAACGTCAAATCAGCTGCATTTCACCACGCCGCCCAGGCGAAATTCAGCTGATTTGACCATTAAAGTGCATTTATTAAGGAAAAGTTAGACTGAGACACACCTTTACTATAATGTCGAGCAAACAAATAATTGTTTTTAAGTGTTAATCTTGTTAAATTCTTGTTAAAGTCCTCCCGTGCACGCTCCCGCGGCCACCATTTGGCAGCCAATCGATTTTTGGCACAACTCCGGCCCACGTTTTTGGGTGGTCAGCGGTGACACATAACAAGCACAACGTGTCAGCGGTGACGCATAATAGATGCGACTTATATGGCGAAGCGACTTATTTATGTTTTTTCCACTTTATTTGACGTATTTGGACTGATGCGACTTATACGGCGGTGCGACGTGTACGGCGGCAAGTACGGTACTTTATTCAAAATTTGGGGAAAGACATCCAGACCCATCCCATCAGCCCACCTGCTATTTGCATTCCAGCATCGATCGGTTTACAAATTAAGCCCTGGTTACAAGAATTGAACCTGAGAGAAAAAGCAGCCAAAGTCCAGAGGAAAAACTAAAAGAGCTTAGAATACCTGAAGAACTGTTGAATAAGACGGCTTTAAAAGATTACAAGTCTGACAGCTTGGAAAGAAAATGTTAGCTCAGGATATTTGCACGTATCAGTTTAATATTACTTACAAAGTAATATTTAATGTTTTCAGGGGGTGAGTCAACCTCTTCCTGCCTGGTGAGCTACAGCCCTGACCAGCTTCCACCTGAAAACTCCTCCTTCCTGGAGAGGGCGTTTGTCTGTCGTTTCCGCTGCTTGTTGGACAACTCCTCCGGCTTCCTGGTAATCTTAAACCATTTTTCACTGATTTGACTTCTTACCTGTTTATCGAGACGTTCTCTGTCAGACCTGGTAATGAACTGAGGCTATGCTAGCAGCTCACTGTTTCAGAGGTCTGTTTGCGCTGCTGGCCCAATGGCGTGCCACCTCAGTCCCTCAGAGATCTGAAGCCACCCTTTACTCCCGTAATCCGCCTTAAGGGACCTTCGGGGTCGTGGGGAAAAGGGACTTTAATCCTCCCGCCAAGCAGAAGAAAGTTGCTTAGTCAGAGGCACTGCTGCTCCAGGTGATAGGTGATGTGTTCACAAGTGTCCACGCCTTAAGAAATCCAATTCAGATTACATTTTCATGGTATTAAATCAATAAATAAACTACTTTATTTGTTTTATTTTGTTTTGCTTGATGCACTCAGTCCACATCAGCTTCTAAACTAACTTCCTTCCATGAATGATAGTTTTTGTCTCTGCTGTGACTCTGGAAGAGAACGTTACCTTAGAGTGAAACAGCACAGCTGCACAGTTTTACACCTGAAAGCATGAACTTGATTAAAAGTCACCATACTATGCCGAGACCCTCCAGTCTGACCCGCAGAGGGGTCTGAACCTTCACGTTGTGTTTGCGTGCGCAATAAGCCAAGTTTCTGCTCCTGTCTGTGTTCTCGGGCTTTGTTTTTTTATGTAATCCCTCCTGCTATTCAGGGCCGGACTCCTGACACCACAGCTGCAGGTTCTTAAACCCCCAGAGGTCAATTACCTAGAGCTAACAGAGGTGGAGGTGATGAGAGGTCTTCACCCAGAGGGTGACAGGGTCACAGAAGACAGGAGAGTCTGATCAAACCTACTTGTGATCCAAAAGCTCACTTTGACTTTTTAAAGATTTTTTTTTCCGATTTTCTGATCCATTCAGACTTGATTAATCTGAAGCATGTGCATTTTGTAGTGCATCAGTCAGTTTGTCCCACTACCAAATTGCACCCCCGATACATACACAGGGGTTGACATGTTGTACCGTTTGGGTACAAAATGTTTCCCGTTTTGCATCTATCTACTCATCCCTGCGTGCGACGGCACCAGCTCTATGTGACCTTGCACAGGATTAAGCTGTGCTTTATTTTATAGTCAACATTATTACAGAAATATCTATAGGGCGGCATGGTGACTCAATTGGTAGAGCTTAGGGATGCACAATATTTGATTTTTGGCCAATATCTGATATGCCGATATGTTCAAACTTATTTGGCCGATAACCAATACCAATACCGGTATTTTTTATTTACAGAGACTACATAGTTTTCTCTGCTGTGGAATTAAAATACTACAATATTCTGCATGGTCTTTGTCAGTTTGGCCTGCTACCAAATACAGATGCCAAAAAGGGGGCTGAAAATGATGTAACACTTCAACTTGGATTATGTTTAATGTCACATTTATTCATGACATTTACACTCTAACACAATGACAACACTCGAACAGTGCAAATTTGTAAATTTTCACAAATTTAACCTGTTCACAAGCAGTTTCTTAAGTTAAAAATTAACTTAAAACAGAAGTCTTTTATATCGGTGAGTTATTTTAATGAAATAGCCGATGTCCGATATTTAACTTTATCGCTAATATCGGCCGATATCGATACCATGCCGATAATATCGTGCATCCCTAGTAGAGTTGTTGCCTTTCACCAAGAAAGTTGCCGGATCGAATCTCGGCTAGGAGCTTTTCTGGGTAGAGTTTGCATGTTCTCTCCATGCATGCGTGGGTTTTCTCTGGGTACTCCGGTTTCCTCCCACAGACCAAAAACATGCATGTTAGACTGATTGGTAACTCTACATTGTCCCTAGGTGTGAGTGAGAGAGTGAATGGTTGGTTGTCTCATTTGTTTCTGTAACCCCGTGATCAGGGCTTAATTTGTAAGCTGATCGATGCCGGAACACAAATAGTGGGCGGGCCAGCTGGGGGGGTGGGGTGGGGGGTAAGTGGGGTAAGTGGAGGGAAGGTCCTCCTCCCCCTTAAATTGTTGAATAATGCTATTTCCTGCATTTTGGTGTAGCCTATTTTAACGGGTTGTTAAACATCTACGTTTACCTACACTTGTAAACACTTGATTAAATTACTGTTTTAGAGAGCAACAGCTGGTTGTGTGTGAATAGAGCAACTCCGGTTCTGTCAAGCATCCTAAATCTCTCCACACACACTTCATGTTTCTGAGTCAAACTCCTCTCCGCTGAATTCATTCCTGCGTTGTTGCTCCTGCTGCTTCAATCTCATTTACGACTGCCTTCTTGGCTGTCCAACTAAGGACAACCCATCCATCCATTTATTTAATGAAAGTAAACTGGACTGTCTTTTCAACATTTTGATCACTGTTGTTTTGATGAATTAGTGCCATTATTTTGAAACACGATTAATGTGAATAATACACATCAAACATTTCTCCCGTTTTTTTTTTTTTTTTTACTGTAGCTAAGCTTTTTTATTTATTATGTCTGAAACATATGCGTGAGTTCACATCAGTTGTGCGCACGCTGTAGAGATTCTCAAGATGTTGCTGTGCGGAAGGTATGGCAAGCCAAATGGTCCACTAATAGTCACTTTTACCACATCTGGCTATTAATGGGCTACTTGGCTTGCCATATAAATGAAGACACTTTATCTCCACGGGACATGGCGTCCACGTCTCTGCTGGGCAGGAGTGTGTATGAGAGCTGCGCCTGCTGCAGCTGTAACATCCACTCCGCAGACTGGCCAACGTCTCCTCTCGTTGTATTTTTAATAAAGAATCAAAATAAAAATATGCGATGACTTTGGACTTTTAGGGGCAGATGTTTGAGTTCCCTGATCCGAGCAAACGGTTACCGGAATGCACCCGGTCAAAATGAGGATGTTCCCGGATCTTGTTCCGGCAGGATCCGGCTCAAATTAAGCATCGCCTGCGATGGACTGGAGACCTATCCAGGGTGTCCTCGTCTTTCGCACACTGATAGCTGGATATGGGCACCAGTGACCCCCACGACCCGAAAAGGAAGAAGTGGGTAAAGATGATGAATGGCTGGATGGATGGATGGATGGATGGATGGATGGATGGATGGATGGATGGACGGATGGATGGACAGATGGATGGATGGACGAACAGATGGGTGGACAGATGGATGGAGTCAACAACTTGTTCTTGTGTTTCTTGGCTGTTTTTATTTGTGAGATTTTGAGTTGTCATTTGTGTATTGTAATGCTTTGGTGTGTGGACCCCAGGAAGATTAGTATCTACTACGGGAGGCTGTGGCTAAGTGGTTAGAGCAGTCGTACTCCAATGCAAGAGTTGGGGGTTTGATTCCACCAGCAGTCACATGCTGAAGTGTCCCTGGGCAAAACACTGAACCTCTCATTGCCTCTGATGTGTGTCCCATCAGTGTATGAATGTGATAAAGCTCTGATTATTCTTTGTATAGATCTAGTAGAGCGCTGTCTGAATGGGTACATGAGGGCACAGATTGCAGTGTAAAGCACTTTGAGTATCTTGATAAGATAGAAACGCACAATATAAGTACAGTCCATTTATGGTAAAGACTAACTGATCCTTGAAAAAATAAAAAATCAAACCATGTTTTTCACATGTGAAAAATCACGTGACCGCATGGGATCTCTGGACCGCTCAAATTTTTGTATTTTACTGATATTTACACCCCCCCCCCCCCCCCAAAAAAAGACAGGAAATGGTTGTCTAATGTTAATGAGCTCCATGTCCGTGATGTAACTGGAGTGACACCAAGTTACCGTGTGTTTACAGTGTATCAAGTGGTTTGACTCTGTACACGAAGCAGCAAAATAAATACCACTGATGGAGCTTGGCAGGGCGAGAGGAGCAGCACTTGCACATCTGCTGCTGCTCTCAGACGAGAGGACTCCACATTTTCTCAGAATCTCTCTGGATTATTGATGATGATGTGGAGATCATGTCTTCCCTGCAGCCGCTGAGCATCCAGGGCAGGCTGAAGTTCCTCCACGGTCAGAGTCGGCAGCAGAACGAGCGCAGCACTCCGCCTCAACTCGCCCTGTTCGCCATCGCCACGCCCCTGCAGCCTCCGGCCATCTTGGAGATCAGGACAAAGAACATGATCTTCAGGACCAAACACAAGCTCGACTTCACTCCTATGGCCTGTGATGCAAAGTACGCACTGTTCGAACGCACATTTCCTGTGTGGTTTCTGTTAAAAGTCATTTGTTTCTCTTGTTTGTTTGTTTCTGGATGTTTAGGGGTAAAATAGTTCTGGGATACACAGAGGCAGAGCTGAGGGTTCGAGGCACAGGTTACCAGTTCATCCACGCCGCCGACATGCTGCACTGTGCTGAAAATCACATCCGAAGTAAGCCCCAGCTGCTTTTATTCTGCACGGTGAACAGCTCAGGTCATAACTAATGCAGCATGCTAGAGACTGAAGGGTTACTGATGCAAAACTGGAACAACTGGGATGAAAACTACTGATTATATTACAACCAACTTTACAGGGAGATTTGAATGTTTTAACCTCACATAGCGGGACTTTTTCAGCTAATATGACGTCATTTCCGATCGTTTTCGTTTAAAAGTTTCAGGTTTACTTCGTCGTGTCGTCTGCGGCTCCGACACTGTGTCTGCTGTTCTCTGACTGAGAGTCAGTGTCCTACTTACATCGTGTCCGGGATGACCCGGTTAGCTGTTACCATGGTGCCCTGCGTCGCTGCAACTTGGCACACGCAAATACCCACGTAATCAGGCTTTAGGTTTCTACATATGTGTTTGGAAACATTCAACACGGAGTCGCTGCTCCGATGCACACTCCAGGATAATCGCCAGCCTGAACGATAGTAACCGATCTGAGCTTTGGTTTGATGTTCTGTTTTTAATCGAAACTGTAGATTTGTTTATTTTTTGGTATTTATACATATATACCATTTAAAAGTATAGAAAGAAATTGCTTTAATAGTAATAACATTTCTGTATTTTTTCCCCCTGTAATCCCTCGGAGCACTAGTCAAAATCAGATTAGTAGTAAACAAAACAAGGACACAGATTTAGCAAAGATAATCTCTTGTGGTTTCAGCCCAAACTTTCTGTAGAAACACAAAAATAAACATTTAGCTATTTTTAAAGTACATACTGTACCGTGAAGTAGAAAACTGATTGTTTTAAAGGGCAAAAGGACATAAAAAAGCCTCCTATATGTTGTCCGTTACAGTAAATACAGTGAACCTGGCTGAGCAGTTTTATTTTGCTTTTTAATCATTTTTAAGAGACTGCAGGTTAAATCGCCCTGAAAGGATTGGAGTCTGCTGCAGATGTAATGTTTTTTTTTTTTTTTTACCGTGTCCAGCAGAATGGTTTCACTACAGATGTGATGTTTGGTCTGAGTGTTGATGGAGATGGTCAGAGAAGATTAGAAGGAACTGCACTGTGTCTTTATGACTCCACAGAAAGCAGATGGTAGGAGAGGAGCTGTGGTTCTGCATAAGAAAGTCCGGTCTGCTGGTAAAGTATGTGAGGGTAGGACAGGTGTGCAGTAGGAGTGACCGCTGTCAGTCAAACTGAACTCAAGGTTCAGCTCTGATCTTTACAGCTGCAGTTCATCTGTTTCTGATGATTAAGACCAAAATTACTCATTTGCTGTACAGGTGCTGGTCAAAAAAATTAGAAAATCATGAAAAAGTTGATTTATTTCAGTAATTCCATTCAAAAAGTGAAACTTGTATATTATATTCATTCATTACACACAGATATATTTCAAATGTTTATTTCTTTAATGTTGATGATTATAACTGACAACTAATGAAAACCCAAAGGAAGTGCAAAATTTATTTTCATCAGAGAACACAACATCACTCGGCAGCAGTCCCAGGCGAGACGCTTCTCTCTTGTCTCTTGTTCAAGGGTGGCTTGACACAAGGAATGCAACAGCTGAAACCCATGTCTTGCATATGTTTGTGCGTGGTGGTTCTTGAAGCACTGACTCCAGCTGTAGTCCACTCTTTGTGAGTCGCCCCCACACTTTGGAATGGGTTTTGTTTCACAATCCTCTCCAGGGTGCGGTTATACCTATTGCTTGTACACTTTTTTTCTACCACATATTTTTTTTTCCCTTCGTCTCTCTATTAATGTGCTTGGACACAGAGCTCTGTGAACAGCCAGCCTCTTTAGCAATCAAAATATGTCTTGCCCTCCTTGTGCAAGGTGTCAATGGTCGTCTTTTGGACAACTGTCAAGTCAGCAGTCTTCCCCATGATTGTGTAGCCAACAGAACTAGACTGAGAGACCATTTAAAGGCCATTGCAGGTGTTTTGAGTTAATTTGCTATTAGGATGTGGCACCAGGTCTCTTCAATATTGAACCTTTTCACAATATTCTAATTTTCTGAGATACTGAATTAGGTGGAATACATTAGTTGTCAGTTATAATCATCAACATTAAAATAAATAAACATTTGAAATATATCAGTCTGTGTGTAATGAATGAATATAATATACAGGTTTCACTTTTTGAATGGAATTACTGAACTAAATCAACTTTTTCATGATATTTTAATTTTATGACCAGCACCTGTATGTCTGTGCTCATGTATTCAGAACCTCAATTGTGTCTATAGTACATTCTTGTTTTCACCAAAGCAAAGCAGATTGAATCGGAACACACAACTTCATCTTCTGCAGCCAGCTGAACATCTGTTTCCTGTCACATTCTGTAATCACATACTAGTGAAGTTACCTCTAGCACCGAAGCTTCAAAGCACGCTTCAAACTCGACAGGGTAGTTATGGTGAAGCAGTGGGCCGGAGCTTGCTTCATGTGACGTCACTGATGACGTGTGAACCACTTCACTGCTTCATTCAGACCGAGTCAGCTGACTGCTTCGAGTTGACAGGCGGAGTTTCAAACATTTGGCACGATTCAGTGTATTTAAGATGGCTCAAGCCCCAGTTCACATCCCCGTTCTACACGTATTATACGTTACGAACAGCTCTTGTTTTTTGATATTCAGACAGTGGTTAATTTGAGCCAGATCCTGTCAGAACAAGATCCTGGAACTCTATAATTTTGACCGCTCGGATCCGCCAACTCCGCCCCTAAAAGTCCAAAGTCATTGCGCGTTTTTATTTTGATTATTTATTAAAAAGTACAATGAGTGGATATTCCAGCCGCGCTATGCTCCTGCCCAGCAGAGACACGGACTGCATGTCCCGCGGGGAGCGTCTTCATCCTCCTTCAGCTGTGCGCAAGAGGTGCGTCACATTCGCAGGGCTTCATTTGGTGCAACAATCCCTACTACCAGTAGATGTCACCCAAGGGAATTGAATGAAGCTTCGAGTAGTGAACCACTTAATGACACAATGGTTCAAAATGATTCTATGCTTCAAAAAGCCTAATTTTGACATCACTATCACATAATTAGAGCTATTTAACATTACTCATCATGAAAACAACGTGAGATCAGCAAACTTGGAAGTGATTTAAAGAAACGGTTCTTTTAAATAAGGAAAATCAATTTTAGGTGACAATTTAAATATAAGTTTAGGCTACATAAATAAAGTTTAAAGTATCAAAAGACTAGCTAAAAGTAGCAAAACACCAGCTATATGACGAATGTGGCTATACCCAGATATAAGGACCAATGAGAACAGAGACTCCAGCGCTGGATGAGTGTCTTCTGAGGCCTCTTGTACTCCTCATGCTCCTCAAGTCATAGGATCACCGGTGTGGCTAATTTAGAGTCTGACTGTGGGAGCAGGAGCTGGCAGAGCTGAACTCCCACAAGCTAAAGGCTAAACAAGCATTAAAAGAAAAAATCAAAAGAAAAAACAAATCAAGCATGCTGAAGAAGATGTAATTAGATGTGAATTTGCTGTGTGTGTGTGTGTGTATGAAGTTAAAAAGTTTGAAAGTAGAAAAGTTACAATAAACAAAACTCACCTGTATTTTGAATGTGTTGAATGTATTGATACATTATTGGTTTAAAAGTACAAAGTATGCAGAAGTATTTAAAATGTAAAAACAATAATAATAATGTGCAGGAAAAATTAAAACAGGAAAACAATAGAGTGGTTTTAAATCAGTATACACACTACTTGACAACACAGTGTCACAGCTAGGCCTGTCGCGATAAACAGTAAATCAATTAATCACATGATAAATGAAAATTGTCGACCTCATTTTCATTTATTGGCTTTATCGTTTCTTTGTGTTCAACTCCAGTTCTCTTCACTGACCCCTCCCTTTCTCTTTTCGCTTTAAAATCCATTTTAACCGTCCAAAATAGCGTTTTTGGATCGTTAAAAGCAGCTAAGCTGAGAAGCTAAGCTACGAGCTAAGCTAACAGGCGGACCTCGGGGGGGGGTGGGGGGGGAACCTCCGTCTTGTCAAAGCTCCAAAATTCACGTTTGTAACCCGTGCCTTAGTGTAACAAGTTTTTTCTCTGCAAAAAGAAGCTGAGAACTTGTTTACTGATTTGTTTAATTAAAAGCTTTGTTTGACAAATGCTATGCTAAAGAGTTCAAACCACACTGAGGATCCGCCATTTTGACAACCAAAGAAAAGGAAGGAGAGACAGCCCATTTCACGTCAAGGGGCCTCCCTCCCATTTTCCTTAGAGACACGCTGCTCGCTCCCTCACTATCCATCCTTCGTTTCAAACAGTCTCATACTGCCATCCGGTGATAGAAAAAAGGTATTACTCTCAAAACAAATCGACCAACATTTCTTTTTAAATTTGACAATAATTGCCAATTATTGTCAAATTTCAAACAATATTATCGTTTATCGCAATAATTTCACAGTCGTTAGTCGCAATAATTTCTGAGACAATTAATCGCCCAGCAAAATTTGTAATTGTGACAGGCCTAGTCACAGCAAGGTTAGACTCTGACACCGAACCACAGAGTCGAGTGATGGTCTGAGAAAACACCATGATATACAGAATCAGTCAAATCAAGTCAAATTTATTTGTAAAGCACATTTAAAACAGAAGCTGTTACCAAAGTGCTTAAAAGTAAAATCACTTCTGACACGCACAAGGAGTCAGTGAAGGAAGGACAAAACTGGTGAAATATGCTCAAACCTACAAGTTCCTGTTAAGAGCCGAGCTGCAGCATTTTGGACGAGCTGGAGACGTGAAACGGACACCTGACTGACCCCAACATAAAGCACGTTACAGTAGTCTAGCTGTGTTGTAATGAAGGCATGAACTATTTTTTCAAGGTCAGATCTGGTCAACATAGATTTAAGCTTAACTAGCTGCCTTAACTGGAAGAAGCTTTTTGTAGAACAGAGTTCATCTGTTTATCAAACTTAAAGTCAGAGTCTAAAACATCCCGAGATTTTAACAGACTGCTAAGATATGACTCAAGGGAGCCAAGGTTATCAGGAACAGAGACGGCAGTAGAGCTAGGGCTAAACACAATGACTTGTTTTCTGACCGTTGAAACTTAAAAAGTTTGAAGTCATCCATGCCTTAATATCATCAAGACATTTTAACAGAGTGCATTGTGCATGAACTATTTGGTTTTATCAGAAGATAAATCAGGCAATCATCAGTATAGCAATGAAACAAAAGACCATGTTTCCTCAGGATAGACCCCAAGGGGAGCAGATGCAATGAAAACAGAAGGGATACAAGAATCGAGCCTTGTGGGACCCCACAAGAAATAGGCACTGAAGCAGAATGTGTGCAGACAGGTGTAGCATCTAGCCTATATCTTAGTGAGTATTCACTGACATCCAGCCTCCAACTGACCGCCTGATGTGGTTTCAGTGATAAAGACAGGCGAGAGTGGCCTGACTGTCTTCAGACTGCTCACAAAGGAAAACAGATGGACATGGGTCCAGTCCAACGCTCGACTTGTCTACAAGAACGGCAAACCAGACTACATTATCGCCACTCAGAGGCCTTTAGCGTGAGTTCCTTCTTGGTTCTCCTGCAGCATTACTGAGTTGAACTGTCCTCATTAGTTTATTTGCTTCTTACAGGGAGGAGGAGGGAGGGGAGCACCTGAGGAAGCGGTCAATGCACCTTCCCTTCACCTTTGCCACTGGAGAGGCTCTTCTCTACCAGACAGGGTATCCGCTGCACGGCTTCCCTGATTCCTTCCAGGGCAAAGCTAAAGGCGGCAAGTCCAAAAAGGGCAAAGTGGACAAGAGTTCTCCCGATGAGCTGAAGCCAAACTCTCTGCTGGGGGCACTGATGAGACAGGATGAGTCAGTGTACGTCAGCCAACCAGATGTGGAGCCGAGGATTACCCTCCACAGCAGCATCTGTAGCAGGACTGATGATCCCAAAAGCCTGTTGAGTAGCACCAGTTGGAACATTGTTTCCAACGTGGAGGGGGAGACATGTAGCAGAGAGACCTTGAGCTTCGACCCTCTCCTGTCCACCTTGGACTCTCTGTCTCTGGATGCAGGAGAATCCTGTTCAAACAGCGAACTGTTCAGTGCACTGGAGAATCTGGGCCTGAATGCTGATGATCTGGAGCTGCTGCTGCTGGATGAGAGGATGATCCAGGTGGAGCTGGACCCCACCCACATTCCCTCCCTCAATGACCTGCTCACCAACAATGAAATTCTCTCCTACGTCCACGACTCTCTGCAGACGGAGGAACAGAACGTCTCTCAGCAGTCACGTCCATTACCCCCAGCCCCTGCTGCCACCAGGCAGCCCATCATCCAGCTGTCCCTGCAGATGCAACAGCACATAGGTGCAGCTGAGCTGCTGAGAACTCAACCAAGGCAGATCCAGTCTGCTCCACATCCTGGATCAGTCAGCTGGGTGGACCAAGAGCATCCCTCATCCAGAAACACCCAGCTGAACGGAGAACATCTGGAGTCCCAGTGGCAGCTGCTCTCTGAAAACACTGCATTATCGGGCTTCCAGAATCAGCTAACATCAGAGGGATCTTGCCTCCCAATTCAGCACACTACCACTTCAGTGAACCTGCAGGCCCCAGGTTACAGTAACTCGTTACACTCAGATGACTCGCTTCTGAACGGAACAGCTGCACCTGATCTCTGTTACAATCAGAGTGTGGTCCCATCGTCCAGTTTGACCCACGGACCACAACAAAGCTCTGCTTCAGAGTTAGAGCAGCTTCTGGCTCTGCCGCCACCGCAGGACAGCCTGATGCCATTAAACTACAATCTGTTAAGCTCCACCGCAGATAACAAGGTAAGAACCACTTTTATTTGTCAAGATTTCACTTCAGCCAGATTCACTTTTTTACTGAGTTTAATATACTAAAATGTACATGTACTGTATGTAAAGTGGCTCCAAGCTGCACATAAAGTTTTAGATAATAAATTTTATTCACATTAACTGTAATGGAATCTTTCTTTTCCAAGACATTTCTTTCCCCTCCGTTAAGGAGCAAAAAGAGGGAATTGGAAATACTCTCCGACTGTTCGCACTGTGAACACGAGAACTTAAAATAATAAGCGAGGTACCAACTTTTTTAGGTGTGTGGCTGCAGCTATGCTTAAAAAAGGTTCCTGTCAAAAACGGTTTGCCACGTCAGAATCCAAGATGGCTGTCACCATGTGTCAACCATGTGAGCTGGATAACTTGAAATAAAGCAACAGGCCGACTTCTGTTTTGATTAGTGGCTACATTTAGGCGTAAGAAAGGTTTCCATCGAAAACTGGATTAACGCATCCAAATTCAAGAGGGCTGCCAACATATACGTGTGTGTGTGTGTGTGTGTGGGGGGGGGGGGGGCGAAGAATTATCTATGGTGGTTAAGACCACCATTGACCACCCTCGGGCTCTGCCATTGTGCAGGGTGGTGGATAAAATTACTCCTTCCACTCGCGAGGATCCATCACTCTATGCTGTATCGTACAAAATAAAATAAACTACTTCTGTTTTTCCAACAAAGTTCAATCAGGTCACCTGGACGTTTTTTGTTGTTGTTTGTTTTGTTTTGTTTGTGGAGATGTTTTATCCTTTATCCAATGAACTTCATCAGTCCGAGGAGCCACAACAAACTGAGTCCCGCAATTCCAAACTTCACCGATGAAGTCCTTTGGATGAAGGATGAAACGTCTCAACAAAAAAAGAAGAAACCATCTGGATGACCTGACTGAACTTTGTTGAATTTTCTACCTGGATTATTGAACATGAACTTTGGTACCTCTGTTCTTCTACAGTGTAACTCCTACCCAATTGAATAACTTAAACCAAAAAACGTTAAGGTTGACCTGTTAGATTCCAACCCAGAAAAACATTAATCTCATGAATAGTTGTTCAATGTGAACAACTACAGTAGTTTTGGCTATCACCAACAAACTGGTTGATCCTATGAGAAGGTGCTATTTATAAGACTGGGTTTGTTGCAGCCCTTTAGACTGAAGAAGTCTTTTGGATCAAAAATGAAATGTTTCAACAAAGCAGAACTGGTCCAGAGGATCCGAGTCAACCTTGTTAGATGTATCTACCTGGATTATTGAGCATGCATCTCGAAAACTCCAAACACTCACTATTGAAATCCCTTGGCCACTGGGGACCCCTTGTTGCCGTTTCCATTCTCATCATCAAAATGAACGCTTCGATTCAACTCACGTTTGTTTTTCCCTCCTCATTTTGAATTTCTCTAAATGACCAAAGCTGCCAGTTCCGATCCAAGTCGTTTGGTCTGGACTCTCCGAGCCGCCGCTGGAGCCTGAAGTCTGAGCTGCCCTCAAATATCAGAGATCAACAAACTGAAAGCTGCAGGATCTGCAGCCCTGCGGCTCGGAGCTGTTCTCTTTATCTGTGGTGAAAATAGATTTTGTTCTGAGTCGGCTCACTGAGGCCTCGGGCAGACGCAGAGCTCAGAGTATACTGCCATGATGCGATCAGACATGTCGTGTAAATAAGACAAGGAGGAGACGGGCTGGGCCAACAGAGTCGCTTTAAGTCTAGAGATTAACAGTTTAGTCCATGTGAAAAAGAGGTTTATTATCGCCTGCCTGTCACTGCTACAGCCAACTTACCTGAGAAAACATAAAAATGGCTATAACTCAGATAAATTGGTAGATGCTTATCTAAAATGTCATGCAGTAGTAGCTGAGTCATTCCCAATATACTCAGACATTTCAAGGTTCTTTATTGTCATTCGCATCACATGTGGTGCATGAGGTGGAATAAAATTGTGTACAAAGGGTCCCAGTTACATCCAACAAAAATACAGCTTGTAAAAGAAAAACAGTAATAAGATCTAAGATATGAACTAAGAATACGCTAAATACTATATTAAATAGTGCAAAAACAATACGCTGAACAACAACAGCATGAACATGAGTCTGTGTGAGCATATGAGTGTGAATTAATGTATGAAATAAATCAGCAGCATGAGATCAGCAGCATGGATGATCAGCAGCACATATCAACAATCAAAATGGTGATTACAGTGATTTTTTTTTTCCAAAGTGATTATCCTGGTTAGATATTCACGAGTCTAACAGCTTCAGAGTAGAAGCTGTTCCTCAGTCTAGTGGTTCTACACTTAATGCTCCGCAACCTCATGCCTGAGGGGAGCGGGGCTAAAAGTGCGTGTGCTGGGTGAGTGGGGTACTTCATGATGCAGATGGCTCTCTTCCTGCATCTGGAGGTGTAGATATCTGTGATGGTGGGGAGACTGACTCCAACAGTCTTCTGTGCAGCCTTCACCACTCTCTGCAAAGCTTTTCTTTTTGCAGCTGTACAGCCTCCATACCACACGTTGATGCTGGAGCACAAGATGCTCTCCACTGCACACCTGTAGAAGGAGGTGAGGACTGAGCTTTCCAGACCAGCTCGTCTCAGCCGCCTGAGGAAGTAGAGTCTCTGATGAGCTTTCTTGATCAGGCGTTGTTTCTCCAGCTGAGGTTGTCGTTCAGGTGCACACCCAAGTACTTGTAGCTGGAGACCACTTCCACCGCAGATCCTCATATGTTCGGGGGGGGGGGGGGGGGATGATAGGTGTGTCTGTTCTGTCTAAAATCCAGAACCATCTCCTTCGTCTTCTTCATATTGATGTGAAGGTCATTCTTTCTGCACCAGCTCTCCAGGTGTTCCACCTCCTGCCTGTAGCTGGACTTATCATTGTTTGTGTTGCATCCCACCACCACTGTATCATCTGCAAACATTACAGTATGACAGCCTGGATGGGTAGCTGCACAATCATACGTGAGCAGAGTAAACAGGAGGGGGCTCAACACACATCCCTGAGGAGAGCCAGTGCTGAGGGTTATGGTGGAGGAGGATAAGTCGTGGATCCTCACTGACTGTGGTCTGTTTGTTAAGAAGTCCAGGACCCAGTTGCAAATGGAGGGGCTTAGTCCTAGTGGAAGTAGTTTGTCCATCAGTGTTTGGGGAATTATGGTAATGAAGGCAGACGTGAAGTCCACAAAGAGCATACGGACGTAGGAGTCCTTCTGCTCCAAGTGGTGAGAGCAGTGTGGACCACAGAGGAGATGGCGTCTTCTGTTGATCGGTTCTCTTGGTATGCATACTGATGAGGGTCTTCCCTGATGTTGATGGTAGCTTTGATATGTGTCATGCCCAGTCTTTCCAAGCATTTAATGACTTATCGGGATAAGAGCTACTGGCCGGTAGCCATTCAGTCCATTCACTGCAGAGCTTTTCAAAACTGGGATGATAGTGGCGATCTTCAGGCAGGTGGGGTACTGTTGTCAGGATTAGGGAGAAGTTAAAGTTGCCGGCCAGCACCTCGCAGTTGATCGGCACAGTCTCTCAGCACCTTCCCGGCGATGTTGTCTGGGCCAGTTGCTTTCTGAGGATTAATCCTCCTGAAGACCCTCCTTACTTTTGCAGAGGTCACACTGATCAAGTACTCTTCAGATGGTGAGATTTTCAGATTTCGGATTGCACAATTGTTTTATTCATAACCTTGACATCCCAAACTGCAAATGATGTGCATTTCTTCAAGGAATACCGTAGTCCCTCATTTATCACGGGGGATCCGTACCCTGAAGCTCCACAATAAGTGAAAAACTGTGAAATAGGAATAGTCGTTAGTAGTAAGTAGTAGTTTATTTTAGTATTTATATTAAAGGTGTTTTAAACCCTTCCCACACTCTTGCAATATTCTAAACAATGTTTCTAAACTCTAAACGCTCTAAAAGAGCACAGCATGACGTGATGTCTGCTCTCTCTGCCTCCGCTGCTTTCGGCCAGCTCTCTCAGCCAGCTCTCTCAGCCAGCTCTCTCGGCCAGCTCTCTCGGCCATGCCCACAGCAGGTGCTAAGTAATTTAAAATAATTTATTTTATATGAAATTTAGGGATGGTCAATATTATCGGCATGGTATCCGTATCGGCCGATATTAGTGTTAAAGTTCCATATCGGACATCGGCCATTCCATTAAAATAACTCGCCGATATAAAAGGTGCTGTTTTGCCTGCAGCGGCAGCACAACATGATGACATCACGCACACTTACATGATCTCATGGCGGAGAGGAAAATTCAAAATGTCGGCGGTGTGGAAGTTTTATTTTTCATTGTTGAGGATGTCGGATTCCAAAGATTTATGGACGACGTTGAGCCTCGCTGCATCGTCCCCAGTCGGAGATATTTTTCCGACGTAACGTTACCCGAGTTACAAGCCGTCATTTCCAACGTCGTTGAGAAGCTAATAGTCGATAGCACGACTTGTTGAGTGAGTTTTATCACAGACATTTGGACGTCGTGTTAGCTCCGTTAGCATGATTAGTCTTACGGCACAATGGATAGACAAAAACTCTGAACTTAAAAAAGCTGTCCTTCATGCACAGGAGTGCAGAGGATCCCACACTGCAGCTAGGAACCTGGAACAAGCCTCCACAAGTGAGACGGCATCACAGGTGTCTAATGCTAATAAATAACATTTGACGCTTTTCATTTAATATAAATTAAAGTGCTATGCATATCATATGGCTGTTACTGAATATATGTCACCAGCTCTTACAGCTGTTACACAATTTTTGTAGCAAATAAGCCTAAATAAGAGAGAGGGCTATGTTCTGACAAAGGAACGTATATAAAATATAGGTATCTGCATCGGATATCGGCCAAATAAGTTGTAACATATCAGCATATCAGACATCGGCCAAAAATCCAATATCGTGCATCCATAATAAAATGCCCATGCCGATCGTGCAGCTCATCCATCAATCAGCCAAATGTGTGTCATGTCCAATCTTACTTTGAAATACTGCGATGGAAGCGAGTCCGCGAACCACGAAGTAACGAGGGACTACTGTAGTGGGCTTCACATTATCTCTAAGGCTGATCCCAGCCACCGTACAAAGTAAGTTTCTATCTCAGCTGTTTGTTCTTTTGGTGATGATCCATACCTCAAGTTGAAGTTTTGAGCAGATAGATTTGTAAATCCAGAGCTTTGCATTTTGTCTCAACCCCTTCTTCACCAGAACAGACCATAACATCACCCTCATTACTGCCTTCATCCGTCAATTCATCTCCCACGTCAACCTGCCATCATTCAGGAACTTCCAGATACCTAAAGGCAGCAACTTGACCCGAGTGTGGTGGCGCTGACTCTCAACTGATCAGTGATTAGGCTTAATTTAGTGTCTGCAGAGATTTTGTTGAACAGCTGAGTCCAACCAAACCTTCCTTTGACAACGCAGTATTTGTGTTCCTTAATGAGTTTGAATCGTTTTGACGGAAACGGACGCCTTTTTCAGAAATCAAGCCTCTTATTGTGAAAAGCGCAAATTAAAAGTAGTTGGCGATTAAACGAGTTCTCGCTATAAAACGTTCTGAACTCCCAGCTGTCGGTGTGCTGCCACCAATATTTAAACCAGAAACGTTTTCTTATCTGTCGCAGCAGAGCAGGTCCGTGCAACAAGTCCGCGAACACGCAAACCGCTGCTGCTCTGCCGCCGTCTGTTTTACAAGAGGGTTTCGCGAGGAAAGCAAACCTCCAGACAACAGTAGGGAGAATGAGACATGCGCGAGGAAAAAGAGTCCGATAATGAATAGAATCAGGATGGGATGGGCCTAGAGCTGGTCGAGCCCAGCAGGCTTTATTTACCCCCCCAACACACACACACACACACACACACAACTCATTCAGCCCTTACTGTTATTCTTCAGGGTCAGTGACTGTTGCTGAAAGAGAAATAACTGGCAGGCGGGCCAGTCAAGCATGAGCGCTGCTGACCTACAATTTATCTGTCATCATTACCTAATGCTGCAAACCCAGCGGGGAGGGGGGGGGGGGGGACGTGCAGCCAGACACAACTCTGCACCACAACGATCTCTGCTTCTTTAACAAACAGACTGAAACTTACTGCTGAAACGAACGCGCGCCGTCCTGCACGTTGTGTCTTTTAGCTACTGTGACGGTGATTTTATTTGACCACGTACGTCGGTGTATTTTACAGAGGACGTACCGTAGCTCACGATACTATTTGATCGCTTTCATGTCTGAATTATGTAACGTAGAAGAAGCGTCAAAAGAAAATGCACAAAGCAGCTGAGCACGTCGGTGGAAATTGCGGGAGAGTAATGAAGAATTCTGAAATTCTGGCCGAAGAACAAGTTTTATTTGTGGTTGTTTTCAGGGCCGAACAACTTTGATCCATTTTAATAAAACCCTGATTTAAGGTAGTGTCTCACTGGGAAGCAACTGTCGGAGGTTAGTTGGAGACTCTTAACGAATCGATCGACTCCTAGTCTTTGTGCAGCTGGAGGTGATGGGCGGAGCCTCGGCAGATGATATTTTTTATTTATGTTAGGTAGGTAGGTAAGTAAACATACAGTTTTGATAGGCAGAAAAAGGCATAAAAATCCAATAAAATCCCTGATTTTTTATTTTTTTCTCAGGTGGATAATGGCTGCCTCCTAAGTGACACCAATGCAACATATGTAAGGACGTGTCTAATTTCTGGCAGAAACGGAGTGGCAACTCATGACATCTCTGTCTCACATCCTGATGGACTCTCCACCCTGCAGGACCCTCAGAAATCTGGATTCTTCCTTTGATGTGATGGAGGTACAGAGAGACTGGTTATTTTTTAAGGAACAATCTGAAAAACACTTCCTCCAAACTGGACTTTGGGTTGGGTTTTTCTCTCCCACCTCAACCTTAAACTGCTAAAGATTCCTGCTAACCAGAACAGGATAAAAAAGTCAAATCTGTACAGACGCACTTGAAGTCCCGAAGAAAGAGTCTCACTTCACAGTGATCAGAAGAGCTGCTGTGAACGTTTGGTTTACACATTTCTGCTGCTTTTCAAACACATTTTAAGCGTTATTTTCCTTTTTTTCGAGAAACTGTTGGTTTAATTCCAGCGTCCTCTGAAATAATGTGCACATTTCAGACTAAAAGAGCATTTAGATCATCTAGACCAGAAGCTTTAGTCAGAGTTTATTAGGATAAATGAGCTGTAGATTTTACAGTTTACAGCTGAATTTTATAGCATGAATGAATCTGAGAACAACGAGTTAATACTGAATATTTACAACCATTAGAGATTTTAAACTATCTGCAGTATTGTAAAGCAAGTATTTGTGTGGGGAAGAAAAGCACAAACCAGTACAGCTAACAAGAGAGTAAAACATAAAAAAATTGAGTATTACTGACAGCCATGAGATTCTTGCTGGACCAGAAACACCAACAGATTATTTAAATCTAGATGTAGAATAATTACGTGCACAAACAATAGAAAACAGCATTTCATTTTTCTCTTTGAAATCGTAAAGGTTTAAAGACGTGAAGAAGAGCAGTGGAGGTTTGTGGTTTCCTGTGATCCTGTGCACTTAAACATCCGTTAGAGCAGTGGTCTTAACACTGGTCCTTGAGGAACGCCGTCTTGCATGTTTTACATGTTTCCCTGCTTTGACACATCTAATCTGAGTGAATAGGGGATTAACAGGCTTCTGCAGAACTTAAGGAATTAATTAAATCACTGAATCAGGCATGTTGGAGCAGGGAACAACTGAAACATGAAGGATGGTGTTCCTCAGGGAGCAGGGTTGGGAACCATTGCGTTATAGAGACACAGATGAAGAAGATATGATCCTATAAAAAGCATTTTGTTTCCTGACTGGAGGCGGCTGGAACAGCTCCAGTCTCTGCCTTGTCTCTGCAGCCATCGGACACACTTTATATCCTGCGGGCGAGTTGGCTCTGCAACACTGAATACACTCACACACACACACACTCACTGCAATTTTATGGGCCTAACTGTAAATAAGTGATTTATTTTAGTTTTCTTCGTTTAAGTTTAATTATACATGCAGCACTTGAAACACTGACTCAGATTTACAGTTTCTGTACAATCAATAAAGATATTTATGTGTTGAACTCTGGTGCTACTTGATCAGAAGAATCAAACCAAACAACTAACCAGGTCATGATCAACAGAGCGTTTTGCTCTCTGTTCGCTTTTGTTTTTTTATTTATTGTCAATGTGAAGATATCAAACACTGTTTTTTTGTTTGTTTTAAATGAGCCACGGTTGATCCGATCACAAAATGACAGTCCCAACATTTCAAAATCCCTCCTCTCATCTTCGTCGCTGTTATGTTCAGTAAAACATCCAATCAGCTGAGCTGCAAACAGAAACATTAGCAGGTCGGCTCACTAATCTGAGATGGATATTTATTCAGTCATTTAACAGCTTTCTACTAAGTGTGTTTACAGATTATGTACGAACCGTTATGTCAGGTATGTAAATGAAGGGTGAACAAATGTGTTACAAAACAGGGCTGCTACAGACAAACAAACTCAAGCTTTTAGATCATTCATGCCCAACTGGTTTTTAAAACTAGGCTAAAATAAAAACTTTACCTCCTGGAATGCATCTATTAGCTTTGTGTTGTGATGTTTAAGGTGGACTCTCGTTGGGCTGTGACTGTTAGAGACAACTTTATACTCAGAAAAACAAAACAAAGAAGTCAGGAACAGGTGGATTTTCTGTTGCCGTCATATTTAGCTCTGCAACTAGGGAGTCCAACAGTCAGTTCTGGAAAATAACAACCTATCTTGGCGTGCACGACTTGTAAAACACTACAGTAGTCCTGTGATTATCGTGGTGGTTACGTTCCACCCACCCCCACGATAAGTAAAAATTTGTGAAGTAGGAACGTCATATTTATTTTAGTATTTATATATATTTAAGGCTTTAAACTCTTCCCACACTCTTGCAATGTTCTAAACTCTTAAACCTATGGAGTTTTTACAACATACGTATATGTACTGTATAGTAACGACTTACTGTAGTCCCTCATTTATCGGGGGTGTTAGGGACCACGCACGGGACCAGAGCGAGTCCGCAAAAGTCGAACAGCAAAGTAGTCCCTTGTTTATTACAGGGGATCCGTACCCTGAAGCCCCGCGATAAGTGAAAAGCCATGAAGGAGGAATAGTAGTACAAGTAGTAAGTCGTTGTTTATTTTAGTACACATATATATAAAGGCGTTTTAAACCCTTCACACACTCTTGCAATATTCTAAACAATGTTACTAAACTCTAAACGTTCTAAAAGAGTACAGAAAGTCATGATTTCCGCTCCCCGCCTCCACTGCTCTCAGCCACCTGCAAGCGTGCTTGGCCACGCCCACTTCTCCGCTCCACACGGAGATCAGCTGATCAGCTGCAGGAAGAAGCTTATCGTTCAGTGTGGGCTGCACAGAGGTGCTAAATAATTTATTTAAAATAAAAATTCCATGCCGATCGTGCGGCTCATCCATCAGTCAGCCAATTGTGTGTCATGTACAATCTTACTTTGAAAAACCGCGATAGAGCGAGTCCGCGAAAAATGAACTGCGAAGTAGCGAGGGACTACTGTATTTATTTTAGAATTTATATATATTTAAGGCTTTAAAATCTTCCCACACTCTTGCAATGTTCTAAACCCTTAAACCTACATAATTTGAACGCTATACGTATATGTACTATACAGTACTGCAAATTTTTATATGGGTAGTAACCAGCCTTGGTCTTGTTCTGGTCAGCTCACTGCAGCCGTTGAGCACCAAGACGCTTTTAGAGAGAGACGGATAGCTTCAGATAGCCAGCACCAAACCACACAATGGTCCAGATCAGGTCCAAATCCGGATGAAAAAAAAAGTCCCGGTGTGCTCCGGAGAAAACACCGGACCTCTAAGCGACTCCTCCACGTTTGAGAGGCTCCCTGGTCTGACAAGCAGGACTCAGATTGACCGCTGAGGCTGGAAGTCCAGTTTTGGTCCAATTCCCGGTCAGTTCCGTACGACTCTCTGCATTCATTGTCGAAGTCACTATGAAAAAGGACCGAAAGTTTTTGGATCAGATCAAAACTTTCCCTTCATTTCATCAAAAAACAATGGCTGTTGGCTTCTGGATAATGTAGTCCTTTTGACTGGCGATACAATATAGGCTTATTGAGAGAAAACTACAAAATGGCAGAGCCTGTCCAAAGTTTTTTTTTTTTTTGTTAACTTTTTACTGTATCCCATACTGTCCCAATCATGTGACTAATATTAAAGTTGACAGTGTGTGTCATGTACAATCTTTTTTGTCTACAATCTTACTTACAAATACCGCGAAAGAGCGAGTCTGCGAAAGTCGAACCACGAAGTAGCGAGGGACTACTGTATTCACATTGTTTTGTTGCCCGCCTTGGCGTTTGCCCCCACGTTTATGGTTGATTCCACTGGAGTACACTTTAAGAACAAAGACAGGAAGATTTGGATCTGTAAACCCCTGCGACTCAGGCGAGAAACTGGAAAATCCCCCACAAATGTTTTGAGACATTTTAGAAACTCCCTCAAGAAGGATAATCGACAACTAAACTCCCAACAGTCACAGCCCAGCAAGATTAAGGTTTTAACAAGAGAAGATGCACCAATTGCTCAGTTGACCAGTGAAAAGTCCATTCTGCTTGTAAAAACCTTAAAATATTAATGTTTCTTCAGGCTCATGATGGAAGGAGGCATGGCCTAATTTGTGTTAAAACTTGTAATGCTGATGTTGTTGCTGTGTGTTATCTGTTTGTTCTATCTCTACAGTGTTTAAAAAAAAAAGTTAGAGGAAGAAAACAAAAGTACAGTTTACAATGTCCAGAGCGATCGGATCTGAATCCGTCCACGTAGCTGCCCTCCACTTGAGATCCAATCACCCCTTGTGAATGGTAGCTGGTCTGAGCTCTTTCCTTCCTCAAGCTGTGACTGACAGAACAAGCTGCTCCCAAGTATCTCTGAGACTGTAGCGCAGCTGACCCGAGGGCACTTTACGTTGTTTTTGTTTGCAGACGGCAGCTGCTGGGACGATTTAATGACACAAATCATCTGCAGAAGAAGAAGCACCAACATAATAAAAATCCCAAAAAAGAAAAAAAAAAAAAGAATGTCTGCAGTCGCTCAGGTGTTGAATGTCCTAAAAGATGTGACGACGTTTCAAACACAAAGCTTTTTATTTCATTAGAAACTAGGGATGCACGGTATTGGATTTTTGGTCGATACCAATACCGATATCCCCCCCCCCCCCCCCCTTAGACCTACTTGCATAAACTACATACACTGCCTGGCCCCCCAAAAAAAAAGTTGCCACCTGGATTTAACTAAGCAAATAGGTACAAGCCTCCTATTGGATAATTACTGCATGGATGATTTTCTTTCAGCTACAACAAGTTATTTAACCCCAACTGGTGCAATGAGTTGCTTCTCGTTTCTTAAACAACCATGTTGAAAGACACGTCGCGTGGTCGTGGAAAAGATGTCCGTCTGTTTGAGAAGGGTCAAATCATTGGCATCAAGCAGAGAAAACGTTTAAGGAGATTGCAGAAACTACTAAAATTAGGTTAAGAACTGTCCAACGCATTATTAAAAACTGGAAGGACAGTGGGGACCCATCGTCTTCA